TTTCTTGTATCTCCAGTGAAATGCTAAGATATCTCATGTCACCTCTTTCTGCCCGACTTTGGTACTTGTGGGTGCATCCTTGCCTTGAGTCATCCTTGGATCCAGTAGGCATTACTGACAGTGCTTTCTCCCTGCAGAGGTCATGTATTCTTCCTTCTACAGAGGAGTGTGTGTGTGTGTGTGTGTGTGTGTGTGTGTGTGTGTGTGTGTGTGTGTGTGTGTGTGTGTGTATGTGTGTATAGATAGGAATTTCTATAGAGATTAAAAAATACAAGGTTTGTATTTTGTTTTAAGACTCATTGAATTCTCATATGAAAATTGAGGTTGAAAAGTCTGAGAGTGAAGTTTTTTGTTACTATTTATAAGAGACTTGGTTGGTATATGGTTTTGATTTTTGACAGTTTGATACTTTTGAATGCAGGATGTCACTTTCAATATGTACTTTCAGAGTTTATAAGTTATGTCTCAGGTAGGGTTATTTGCCTTTTGTCTGGGTCATCCTTGGACCAGCATCCTCCTAACTATGCCTTCTGTGTAGCTGGGATTACAGATGTGCATCACTATGTCTGTCTTGTTCTTTTAAGATAAGGTTGTACTAACTTTTTGCCTGGGCTTGCCTCAAACCGTGATCCTCCTATCTCTTCCTCTTAAGTAGCTGAAATTATAGGCACAGGCTACCATATCCAGCTGTTAGCATATGCATATTTTAAATATAAATATTTTATTCTAGAACTTTAATTATAATCCATAGCCAGATTATCAGCAGTCATGTCTCGCTATATAAATTTTACTAGATTTGCAGTTTGTTGCTTCTTTTGTATTTTCTTCCAGTGCACTTGCCATTGACTAGTCTCTGTAGTACTTCCCTACGTAGTGTTTTAGAAACTAACTATACTGGGAGCCTGTCACTGTTCAAAGAGGTGGTGGTGGACCTGCTGCTGCTCCTTCTCCTTCCCTCCGCCCTGTCCGTAGCCACTGTACCAGAACTTCCCTCCATCTCTTCAGTGTTTATGGAGTACCTGCTCTTGTGTTAGAGCCTCTAGTTCTGACTTCCATGTCTTTTATTTTTTACTCAGAACTTTCGTTCCTTCTTCATTTGGCTCTGGGTTATAGTGAGAATTTCTGCAATTAATGTGTAAATTGCTATTTTTGGCATTATTCCTTCTGTTTTCACTGTCCTTACTGCATTTATTTTGGAAATCTTCGTTTCTTTTCTGCAGAGGGCTTCAGAGTGAGATCTTGCACTAGAGCGTTTTTGTGGTTCTTCCCTGCCCCACACTAAGTCGGCACCAGTGGAAGCCAGCGATGCTGGCATCTCACCTTGACATCCTCCCAGGGAACCTGCTGCTGCTCAGCACCTGTTCCTCTCTGTGCGGCACTGCTGATGCAGCACCCCAGTGGCTGTGCAAACTCGGGCTGGGGCTCTTTAAGGAAACATTTTTTTCAGATGTCATTATACCAGGGAAAAACCATAAAGTGCCTAAAACCTTTAAGCAGACATGTCTTCACCCCAACCACATTTACCACAAGGAATAGTTTAAAAATTATGTGGCACTTGAGAAAGTCTTGCCTTTTAGGGAACCCAAGCACCGTGTGTATTAATCGAGATGCCACAAGTATGTGTTGGACACAAAAGGACAAATCGATCTTGTTCTCCTCGAGCTGGTGCAGGTGACAGGGTGAAAGTTGCATTTCCTTGGCTCCTAACCAGTGCTTACATGCTGGTGTGTTATGTTTGATGTCAGAATATGATTACTCTAGGTTAAATGTTTGCATTTTAAGGAGCAGAGGAAATCTTTTCCTTTCAGACACTTAATGTCCTTGGGAATTTTATGCTACCTAAGAAGAAAGCTTCACCCTTATTTTCGTCATTAATTATGTCTCATTTATACCTAGTACATAAGATGAAAAAGCATCCAGTTTTAAAATCATAGAGCTCAGTACCTGTCACTACAATAATCCCTCTGGTCATTAAGGGGCACCATAACAGATCTGAGGACTGGCATGTTCACAAGATCCATCTGGTCAGGTGTCCCGTTCTGTAGTATGGGGTGGTCATAGAAGCTGCAGACGAGGAGACATTGGCACTCTGCTGAGAGGCTTTACCTATTCATTGATCAAACATTGGCCTAGCGTCTGTTCCAAGGCAGGTACTGAGCTGAGTGTTGGAGAGCCATAGTTAACAAGAGATAGGGAGTCTTTTCTCCTTAGATAAAATCACACGTTGTAGTAAACATGATAAATGTGACCAAGGAAGTACTTGCAAGGCACTAGTACTGTGACAAAACATGCTATCTGAGGCAGTTACAGAAAACTTGGTGGAGGGGCCCAGTATTTGAGCTTCTTTCTCAGGACAGCGTGGAGGTCACCAAGGCCAGGGCATGGTCCACAGATCATAATTCTGATAAGAAAAGTTACTAACTTGTGCAAAATCCTGAGGCATATTTCCTGCAGCCAGGGACGCATGCATAAGATCTTCAAGTGCAGGGGAAGGAGGAGATTGTAGGCGATAAGGACTAGGTTTATGTGGAGACCAGTCCATTGGGCTAAGGACAAGGGGCTGGTCTTCAAGGCTACCAGTGAAGCTCTGCATTTCAAATGCAAGGAGTAAGGCAAGCCTCAGAACAAAACAATGCTGGGGTCTCTTGAGGTCAGTGGGTAGAACTGTTGGAATCAGGAAAACCTACTGTGAATTAAGTAAGTTAGGGTGTAGACAAGAAGGCAGTTTGGAGGTGTATTTAAGTAGCAGAACTGACAGCTCCTTAGCCTGCTCTTGACTCAAGGAAGAGAAGTGGCCACTGTGGACGGGCAGTATCGTGAGAGCCACGCTGCATTGGAGATGGGTGGAGCACAGGGATGGGAGCCATCCAGAAGGAGGTGAGAGACTTGAAAATAGTCCAGTCTGCAGCTGGGGATTTTTGCCATTCAGGCACTGCGTCCTCTAAAAGTTCTAGATGTGGACATTTACCCCAAGTCTGACTTACTCTGGTTGTCTGCATTTGCTCTGCAGCAATCAGTGGTTGTGGTGGGAGAGATAGCAAGTTAAGTAGTAATTTTACAAATGTTGTATATAGTAGGTTTTTTAAGGTACTTTTTTTTTTATTTTTGGTGGTACTGGGGCTTGAACTCAGGGCCTCATTCTTGCTAGGCAGACACTCTACCACTGGAGCCACTCTGCCAGCCCCTTAAAAATACTTTTTCCATAGATATGTCCTACTTATAAGATAGACAGTGACTGTGTGTGTACTGCTGTGAACTAGATCTGGTGCCTTGTACGTGCTAGGCAAGCACTGTACCAACGAGTTCAAATGCCCAGCCCAACTCTGTTTCTAAAATAAAAATCTCAAGCCTGAGAGGCCACTCAGTGCTTCTTGAACTGTATAACTAATTAAATGACTCAAAACCAGGTTTTCTGATAGTTGGACCTTGATTGTTTTCTCATTGAACCACACTGCCACTACAATGAAAGTCATAATGAACTCAGGTTGTAGTGTGTTTTAAGTTGGCATGCTGTGAAAGTGGAAGAAGTCTTTGCAAAGGTGTCATGAGGTGAGCCTTGGAAAGCAAGGCTTCTGAGGTGAGGCTGTGAAGGGAGGAGCATTCCTAGGTAGGCCGGCAGCTTGGGCAAGGGGTAGGCGTAGTGTTAACATATGTGAGGGTCGCAGACATCCTTCCTGTGTGGGAGGTCAGAGGAGAGGTGAGGCCTAGTCAGGGAGGGTCTGGGTATCAGACTAAGTTCTTCAGGCCTTATTTGGTGGATGGGTAGGTGGAGGCCTTGAAAATGTCAGGTGTGTTGCTCATGTACAGCAAACACTGGCTGACTGCCGAGTGAATGCTAGCCGAGGTTGTACTTTCGTAAGCACGTCAGAGTTATACTTCGAGACGGTCAGTTTGGCTCCTATGTAAAGAACAAATTAAAGGTCAAGATGTGAACTGAGGAGAGCAGTTAAGAGCTCACTAAATGACAGGGAGGATAGAGATCATTGACATCATGGAGGCAGAATAGCTACAATTGGTGATGTTAAAAGTTGAAAAAAAGGCGAAGTTTTCAAATTTTGATGACTTGAGTTCTCTCAGTAGAAGAAGGCAAGGCCTTTGAGTGTGATTGCTCAGAATGATGTCGCCAGAGTCTTCAGAACAGTGGGATAAAAGTATAAGGAAGTAGAGGGGACAACTGAAAAGAATGGTTAAACGACATTAGGATTCCAGGAAGTATCAGATAATAGGAAATTGAGTTGGTACCAACCAGGCTGATCTCAAGAATGTTTTTTTTCCTCAGGATTATTAGGAAGTGTTACTCAAAAGGTGAACAGAGGAATTGGTTGAACTCACTGTTGCTTTTTTGTGTTTGTTTCCTTAGTGGCACTGAGGTTTGAACTCAGGGCCTTGAACTTGTGAGACAGGCACTCTACCACTTGAGCTTATGCTTCCCGTACAGCTGGGGTGACACCACACCCAGCTTTTATTGGCTGAGATGAGGTTTCACAGACTTTTTGCCTGGGTTGGCCTCAAACCTTGAATCTCCTGATCTCTACCTCTGGAGTAGTTGGGATTATAGGTGGGAGCCACCACTCCTAGCTTAATTCAGTAATTTTTATGTTGACATAAATGGCTACTTAGGATGAGCTGTTTCCTGGTTCTGTAATATTTTCTCATTTTAATAATTCTCTGGTTTTCCAATCTAGAGATAGTTGTGGGTAATACTGTATGTAACCTTAAAAATGAGGTGTTATGATGCTTGTAAGTAAGATGCTAAAATGTTAAAAAAAAGAACTTCATTCTTTTACTACTATTTTGGTAAAAGTATCCGAATTTGGTTTTAATTCTTATTATGGTTTCCTAATAGTCTTAGGACTTCTTGCATCTGTGTTGGAAATGTGGAAATGCTGAAGATTCTTTCCCTTTGAAATTAGTAAATCTAGAGAATAGTGTCTTACTACCATACCTGGAGGACATTGTCCCATGCAGTCTTTTAATCTCTGTCTTGAATTTTTGTACAGTTTTCTGAATTTCCAGATCCCATGTGGGGCTCAGATTATGTACAGTTGTCTAGGACGTCTCCTTCTCCGGAGCAGAAGTGCAGCGCTGTGTCCTGGGAGGAGCTGAAGGCCATGGACTTGCCGTCCTTCGAACCTGCCTTCCTCGTGCTCTGCCGGGTCCTGCTGAACGTCATACACGAGTGTCTGAAGCTGCGACTGGAGCAAAGGCCTGCGGGAGAGCCATCTCTCTTGAGTATCAAGCAGGTTTGTTTCAGACTGTTGTGCTATTAGTCTACACACTTACCCTTTTTATTTGGGGGATTTTCCCCAGTAATTATGGCAAATAGTGAAAAGTGAAAGTGTTTTTAAGCCGCTCTTTTGAGGCAATTTAAAATGATTTTTACCTGTAGTTCTCAAAGATAACATTGTTTTTCAGCCTTTCTGTCACCCACTTCCTTGTTCTTAAAAGTGTCTAAAAATAGGGTGAAGATGTGACCCTCTGTTCCCTTCATTTTTTTTTTCCTTTTTTAAAAAGTTTCATGGCATTACAGGGGTTTGAACTCTGGGCCTCACACCTGCTTACTCTACACTGAGCCACACCCCAGCCCGTTTATGTATCTTCATCAGTCTTTGGTGACTAGGGCCTTGCACATGCTAGGCAAGTGCTCTACCACTGAGCTACATTCCTAGCCCACAGAATTCATTCTTAAGAGAGACAGGTTAATAAATTCCTTCAGTTTATTTTTTTGTTCTCTTTGAGGTATATGTAAACAGAGTATGCAGAGGAGATATTTTGGACTCTTTACTTGCTTAAACAATCGTGTGGTTTCAGTAGTAAGGACGGCTTCTGGTCTCCTGCCTGTTGTAAGTTTAAGGTGGGGTCTTAACAAGGGGTTGATATCCAGGGGCAGCAGAGGAGTGACTAGATGCAGTTTTATTGAGCAGAGCGACTGCTACAGCATGTCTTTGTTTATGCTTTGTGGTTTCACATGTTGACATTCTCTGTGTAAAATAAAACTTTTCAGATCCTGTCTCCAAAACAAGAAAGATGGGTGTGTTTTTTGGTAGACCATCACATCCATCACATAGAGATTGAAGGGCTAGGAGTTGCTTGGCTCTGTGAATGACAGGACTGAGCAGTACAGATCAAGGAAAGACAGGCCAGTCAGATCATATAGCAGGTACACAATAGGATCTGTGTTTGTTTGCTTAGTCATGTGTAGAACAGGATAGAACAGGGTGGCTAATGGAGGTGGGTTGGAAACATGCCCTTCATCACTTCTTCACTTTTTTTGGAACTCAGCACCACCCAGAGCTGTTTCCATGTTAGCTCTGCCTCCTCACCATCTTGTTTTGGTTGTTGCCTCACTGTACACTTGGCCAAACTTTTAATTTGTCCTCTGTTACCTTCTAGTGACATAATTAACTCCCTTCCTCATAAATCAAAGGATTCAGAAATGTAGCCCAGTAATAGTAATAGTACAAGGTGGAGTTTACTTTTTGCTCTTCTGACTATTAAATAGTAATTTATGTTAAGCCACTTTGAAATGTTACAAAAATAATACTTGGATTAACATATAAAGTAAGACAAGAGTAGAAATTTGGGGTCAACTGTACTCAGGTCAGCTGTAAGGACCTAGGTATGTCTTTGTATATTCTGAACAGAGTACTTTTTAGTAGATTTAACTATAGCTATAGCTCTCTCATCTCTCATTTTAAAAACAATCCATGTTTATTTTAGAAAATTTGAAAAGTACAGAAAATGATATAAAAATCACCTTGTTCTCCCACTGTAACATTTTGGTGTGCTTCCATCTATTTGTTTTTCCTGCGTGTGCATATTGCTTATGAGAGAAAGGGAGAAAGAGAGAGAATGAATATGAATGAATGAGAATCCCCTCTTTTCTCCATCTAGTTTTCAAAAACAAAAGGTAAATGGCTGAGGTAGTGCTCTGCTGTGTATAGGTGTAACCATAGTTTATTAAGCCCTATTGTTACTTAAACAATACTGTGATAAACACTTATAAGTAAGTCCTACCTACATTTCTATGTCTTGAGTATACAGTGTAACAGTGAGTGAGTTCTACACTTTAGAATCTGGAAAGTTGGCACAGGTTACTTCCTACAGCAGCTCTGAAGTTCCTTCTGTGTCGGCTGTTGTTTATGAGAACAAATGCAATTGTCAGTCTTGGTGATTTGAATTTATAATGGGAAAGAATTCCCAGGTTGTCTCATTTCAGCCTTTACTCCTTTATAACATCACCTGTTGGATGTTATAAAGGACCTGTTGCCTGTCCTTTTTGTTCTGTTTTCTATCCATCTAATTTCATCAGATTAGTTAGTTTGCTTGTTTAGACAGTTACTAGACTTTTTTGAGGGGCTCTGTGGTATATAAGTATATTTCAATCCATATTATGCTTTTGGTGAAAATTTACCCATTTCATTTGGAGATTTTTCTCTTCTGTCGCTTGTCTTATAATGTAAACGAGTAGAAAATTGATCTTATTTTGTAGAATTTGGTTTCAATATTAATTTATTTGTAGCAGAGTATTTTCCCTGGGTATGATGTTTTCCCTGTTTATCCATGCTGTAATAAATTCCTTTGTTTCCATTATTTTGTTCTTACTCAACTTATACTACTAAGATATTTACATACAATAAGTTGATCAAGAATCTGGAAACTAGTTCAGGTTTCACAGTGGTGGGGTTCCTGGTTTCTGAGCTTTTGAGGATTTCAGGAGGAATGTGTGAGAACTGACATCTCATGTGGTCAGGATGTGTGAGTGACAGAGCTTGGGTCTGCTCCCTTGCAGCTGGTGAGAGAGTGCAAAGAGGTCCTAAAGGGTGGCCTTTTGATGAAGCAGTACTACCAGTTCATGCTGCAGGAGGTTCTAGACGACCTGGAGAAGCCTGACTGCAACATCGATGCTTTTGAAGAGGACCTGCATAAGATGTTAATGGTAAGGGAAAGAGGGGATGTTTCTTGCGTGTGTGTATGTAGGTGAATAGGGTAGGCTTTGACCTGAATCTTTCCATCTGGTAGTAGATTGCATTTGTTTTTTCTAAACCAACATTTTCAAAATCCTCAGTGGCTTTTAAGTTGGCATTTTTGACAAATCTTAACCTAGTTCACTGTTTAATTGTCCATCATATAACAGATTGACTCAGAAATAGAATCAAATCACTCCTGCATTACTCAGCCTCCTCACAGCAGCCATTTTTATAATTCCTGGGAGAGGTACTAGGGGCTTTGCATAGCTCTGGAAATAGTGAAGAAAAATAAGAAGCTCAGTCTGGTGGGGACTGATTGTAGTAGCTGCTTCCTCACCTGCTCCCAGGACCAGGTAGAAGGATGCCAGAAGCATGCTGAGCTCCCCAGAAGGGAACTTACCTGGAGGAAGCTGGATCTTAAAGATGAATCAAAGGTTCCTCAAGGAACTTGGCCCATTCAAGGACTAAGTAGCTTTATGTGGCAGGAATAGATACATTTTTATTTTTCCCCAGACCGCCCCACATTCCTGACCTCTGTACTCTCGTTTCTGTTATTTTTTTTCTTGGTAAAATTGCCCCCTGCTTATATGCCCACTTAGGACTTAGTTTTTCTCCAGAAAGCTTATCTTCAGAGAGTTTTAACCTACATTTATCTGTGCCTTCTTTGAACTCTCAGCAGTTACAGTGAGATGTATACTGTAACATAACATTTAAATAGGGACTCTTCTCAGGGTTTCCTGAGTAGACTGAAAGCTTCATGAGCCTGGAGCTATAAATGTAAAGTTCTTTTGTCTTCCACAACGTGTGGTAGAATGTATTTTGTGGTAAGTGCGTGCTAGGTTCATTAAGGTAAGTGAATAGATAATCACGTAAGGTGGCAGGTTCATGAGTTAATAAGAAAACCATAGCTTAGAGATGTTTTGTGACTGCTGTCATTCTTGCTTGACAGCTCACTGTGTCCAACTGGCTGTAAACTCTCCAGGTACCGCTCTTGTTTTCTAGGCTGGACAAAAAGAACAAAAGCACCTTGCCAGCCAAGTGCAAGCCTTTTATCAGGGCAGTAGGGCTCTCCTGGAGGCCCTGCCCAGCCCGTTTCTCCCACATCTTATTGACTAGACCTGTTGCATGCCTTTGTAACTCTCAGTGGAGGCTGGGAAGTCACATACAAAGCAGTGTCCTACCCTCAAATGAAGGAGAAAAGGAAGAAGATGATGGGGAATTGGCCTTATAGTATCCAGCATATTGTGAGAAATAATTTTAAGGAGTTTGAAATTATTTCCTAATTGTTTGGGGAGAACACATTGAAAGACCAGTGTATGAAATGGCTGCACTTGGAAATACTGCTTTTTTTGGCTGTGGGGGAGGGGGAAGCAGTACTGTGGTTTGAACACAGGACCTTGCACTTACTAGGCAAGCTGCTCCCCAGCCCTTTTTGCTTCAGTTATTTTTAGAATAGCGTCTCAAATGTAGGCTTGGATGGGTCTGGACACTGTAATATTTATGCTTCTTGCATAGCTGGGATGATAGGCATGCACCACCACACCCAGCTTCAGATCATGTTTACACATACTCTGCTGTTAAAACCCACCAAAAAAAGAGCAAAGAAAAAATTCCATGTTCCAGAAAGGAGGAAATTGACCACAGTATCCATTCTTTCACCTCCCAAGATAAAAAGGCTATTAACAGTTAATTGCCTTGAAATGTGAACTAAAATGAAAGTGGACTCAGCTCTCCATCCTCTTAGACATGGAGGGCCGATGCAGTGATTGACTAGAATCTGGCTATGGAGTAGGGAGGAGCAGATGTGTCTCTCCAGAGCTCTGCTGGCGTCTCAAAATCTGCACAGCATAGAAGCCAGACAGTGGAGATGCTGATTCTCCCACTGTAACCTGCCAGCCCAGAACACCTACCCTGTGGGAGCGCTGCTAAAGTGGGTGAGCCGGGACCAGCAAGTAACGATGCCTCTTTTTAATTAAAAATAGCAAAAAACAAACTGAAGAAACGCATTTCTGACAAGGCAGCAGGTGCTAAATCTGTTGGGCAGGAGCGAAGGTTCCAGAAGACTGGAGGGAGGGTTCTGGCTACAGAAAGCTGCAGGCCCCAGCATCCAGAGCAGCTGAGGGTCCAGTGCAAGACTGTGCCAGTGTAGCATATGCACATGCTGGGATTGGAGTGACACGACCTGTGTTGAGAAAGAAGTGTAAGGATTCAAAAGAAATGACGGGAGTGGTGGGACTTAAGGATCGTTTGCATCTGGGAGAGGTGAGGGCGTCCAGCTGGTACAGTGAGGGGAATCGTGAAGTTGATGATTAGAGTGAAGGGTTCTTAAATTGGCCTGAGAGCACTTGGGATTGACTTTTGTTTAGGAAAAGAGATGAGTCCAAAAATGCATAGTGAAAAGTTCCTCAGATTTCAAGAGGAGACAGGTCTGCAAACACATGTTGGGCTGAGGAGTACTAGCACCTTTGCAGAGTCCCTACCATGTGTCACTGTCTTTTTTCTCTTTTGCTTTTTAAATGAGAAGGTGAAATGGTGGTGGTTTGAAAGTAGCAGCAGAAGCCTGATGATGCCAGTTCTAAGATAGTTGCCCCCTGAGAGGGCATGAGGGAGAAGCCACCTTTCAGGGAGGCCAAGGAGATGAGGGAGCCCTGAATGAAGGGAATGGGTGGTTCTGGGCCTGGCACTTTCCCAGGCTTGCTTCACCTGGGCAAAATTATGGTGGCCCAATAAAGGGTTGGTTCACACACACAACTTCAGTCATAGTGGACCCAGGCCTGCAGAGTCTCACCACACATAACCTGGAGGCAGAGGTTCTAGAGCAGTCAGATTTAACAGAAGAAAATTGTTTTGCCATGAAGCCTAGCCTTGTAATTTACTGAGTTATTACTGGATCCTACAAAAAAAATTATCCAATGAGCTCTTCAAATGTAGCTTGGTGAAAAACCTGAAATCCAAGGACAGGGAAAACTTGCATAAAGTTCTAAGTATAGAAAGCAAGTCACAGCCAGTTGTGGTGCTGCATTCACCCCCACTCGGGAGGTGGAGGCAGGAGGCTTGTGAGTTTGAGGCCACCCTAGACTACATATGGAGAAACTGTCTCCAAAAAAAAAAAAAAAAAAACAAAAAGGGAGAAAGAGGAGGTTGCCTGCCTGCTTGCCTTCACGGTGTAGGGAGCACAGTGGCAGTTGGGCAGTGAGTCAGGCACCTTGTTTCTTCATACTGACAGCACACTTTGTGTCAGGAGGTGAAATTGTGTTGTCTCCACAGCTCTGAGGTTCCCAGTCTTCCTTAGACACAGCGGGCAGTGGTGAAGAATGTTCCTTCCCTGTGTCACATGCTCTGTGCGGTCCCTTCCATCTTGCAGTTCTGATTTAGAGCTTTCATGGTAACAGGGGAACTTGTGAGTTGATGAATTCTCTCAAATACCTCTTTTATATTTTTGTGTTCTAAGGTATATTTTGATTACATGAGAAGCTGGATCCAAATGCTACAGCAATTACCTCAAGCATCCCATAGTTTAAAAAATCTGTTAGAAGAAGAATGGAATTTCACCAAAGAAATAACTCACTACATACGGGGAGGAGAAGCACAGGCTGGAAAACTTTTCTGGTAGGAACGTTTGCTTTGGAGTGCAGCCTCCTTCCTCTCTCCCTGTCCCTCCCCTCCACATGCTCACTGATTCTCTTTGACACATTTGAATGTCATGTGCACAAAAATGCCATCACTCCTATCTGTTATGTGCTCTCTCTTCTGAGTTTTGAGCAGTGGTTCAAAAGTGGTTCAACCAGAGTGCTCTTGCCCCCTCAGGGGTCTTTAACAATGTTCGGAGGCAGCTTTGATTGTCGCAGTGGGGAACATGCTGCTGCAACCTAGTGGATAGAGGCCGGGGGTGTGCTGGTCATCCCGCAGTGAACAGAATGGGCCCCCACAGAACTATCCACTCAAAATGTCAGTCTTGAACTTGAGAAACTGCCTTAGAGTGAACCTTCTTGCTTTTGATGTGTTGTTTCTACTAAAAGGGAGGAGAATTGAAATCCTTCACAAGTAGAGTAGACCTGTGTGTTTAGTCTTGGTGGGGATATTCGGAACTTAAGTCTGTTTTCCCTGAGGTAGTTCAGGGATGTAATCTTATCACAGTATCTCTTTATAAACTGGTTTTCATTTGGTGAAAGAAGAGTATTGGAACCAGGACAGTCTTGAGGAGGGAACACAGTCACTGGTCTGCTCACTTGAGGAAATGAGCATCTTTTTTGAGTCAGGCTGGCTAGTGAGCCCGGCTGCTGGCTGCTTTAGTCTGACTCTCTTTGGCTCGGGATCAGGTTGGTGCTCTCCTTTGCTGTGGATCCTGCTGGTGGTGGTGCGGCCTGCCTTCAGCCACTTTGTTTCTTCTGCCCTCTTTTTATGAGGTGTGCATAGGCACTTCAGTTGTTCTTCCTCCTTCCTAACATGCTCTGGGATTTCAGCTTCCATGTCATGTGCTCTTCCAACTGCAGAAACTTGCTTTTCTTGACTCTATCAGTCTCTGGCCCTCTTTTATCCCATTTCATTTGAGTGAGCAGTGGACTTGCTCTTGGCCTTCAGGCTGTGGTCCCCAGGCTGATCCACCTTGCTTTCCCAGTTGTCTTCATTCCCATTGTCAGCCCTCTTCAAGAGTGCACACTGCTATTGTCAACATCACTCCCCTCATTCTTCACGATTCTGCCTTGCCTGTGATTCCTTCTGTTCACGTGTTCTGTTTTCATACTGTCAAACTTTGTTGAAGAAAGATGTTTAAAGGTTCCTGCTAAGTTTTACTGTAAACCATGTCATGTGATTTCACTGCTCCTTCAGTTCCTCCTGTCATTGTCTTTCAAATTCCCTGTAGTACAGTTCTTGTTCCTTGTTCTGCAAAGCCTTCAGGCCCCCTGTGGCCTGCTGGCTCTGCTGCTCTAGTTCTTCAGTCATCCCATCTGCTGGGCAGCAGCAGCATCTCCTGCCCTGTAGATCTCTTTCCCAGGTCCAGTCAATGTGGAATCAACCCCGACTCTTCTTCCTCTAACACTGTCTCTGAGGACGTGGCCAGAGAACCTGTGCTTATCACTCCATGCTTTTCCTAGGTTCTCATTTCTTGCCTGTATTGGTACACAGTTCTCAGTAGTGTTCCTGCTTATCCCGGAGTCCCATACAGTTAACTCTTAACACCAGCAGCACAGTGCTCTTGTTAAGTGGTGCATCAGACCATCTTCCTTTCAGAACATCCAGTGACATCCTGTCTGGTGAGAGTGCCTAAACAATGCCCCGTGAGGCTGGGTACACTCTGATTTCTTACTCAATCTTTGTCCTCTTCTCCTCCTGGAATATGCTGTGCTTACTGTACAGCCATGGTGGCTCCTCTTCAGAGGCTGTACATGCTCCTGCCTCATGCCCTTTGCACTTGCTGGTCTCTCTACAGAGACATCTCCTGCCCAGTTATGTTCATGACTCATGTTCCCACTTCCTTCAGATCTTTATCTCAACATTACCGCCTGCTCACAAGTATTTCTTAGCTTTTCTCCCTCTCCAAAGCACCTAGTAATACTCTGTATATTTTCTTTCTTTTTTAAAAATAATTTATTTCCATCCAGTGGAGGGCTTTTTATCTCTTTTCTCCACTGCTGCTCACCACATAATAGGCATTCAGTAGTTGTTGAATAAATCCACCCTGATGTCCTTGTATTATATTCTTAAAAACATGGTTCTAATCAGTCCCCTTCTTCTCAGGTATTTTAAAACCTGCTTACCTTGATCAGCAAGAGCTCAAACTAGGCCTTCTGCAGCCTGAACTCAGTTTGCTTCCTGGTCTTATGGACACCCTTTTTACCACAAATACCCTCCGTCCCTTGTAGATTGAACTTTTTCTTTGTTTTTGATGGGGTTGGGACTTGAACTCTGGGCTTCATGCTTGTCCAGCAGGTCCTCTACCGCTTGAGTCACACCTTCAGTTCATTTTTGCTCTGGCTGTTTTGGAGATGGGGTTTCACAGACTGTTTGCCTGGGCTGCCCTTGAGCAGCAGTTCTCCTGATCTCTGCCACCCAAATAGCTAGGATTACAAGCATTTCCCACTGGCACCCCACTTGGACAGTTTCTTGTTTCTAAGCATGCCTCTTGCTTTACACCATCATTCCTCAGTCATACTTACTGTTCTTCCTGGACTTTCCTTTCTCCTGCTCTGTTTGCTTCCCAATGGGTCCCCTCTTCCTAGTGTCCTCCTCCTGTCATCATTCTGCATTTGTTGCCATTGCCGGACACTCAGGTCATGAAACCACTTTGCCTTAACTAGGGCTGATTGTTGTCCTCTGAAAACAAAGTTGTCACACCACTTACCTTCTGTCACATCTGACATCAGTTATATACCTACCTGCTCTCCTTTCCTTGAACCTTGTTGAGGTCAATAAATCTTGAACTTTTCTGTAGTCACAGGGTGTGTGTGTGTACTTGGGCATTCATTTAAACACAAGTTAAAGAATTAGCTATGCCTGTAAAAGCTAAATGTGAAGGAAAATTTAAAAACAGTTTCATTTAAAGAATTTACTTTGCCTTCTTATCCTGTCGTTTAGTTTATTCAAAGCATTTAATTTTTAAATTTTTTACTGATGTATTTTAATTGTACAAAGGGTTTTCACTGTGGTATTTTCATACATGTTTATAAAGTTCTTTAACCAGATTCACTCCCCTATTCCTGTTTCTTATGCCTTCTTCCCACTCCCCCTACCTGTTTTTTTCTTTTACAATTTTTAGTGGGTTTCATTATGCCGTTTTTATGCATACATATTATGCACTTCAGTCATATTCACACCATCACCTTTTCTTTATTTGAGGCATTTTAATTCCATTTTGAATATTTAAGATAGAAGTAACATTTGTGTAGTAACCACATAGCCACTATGAATGCAGTTTAAGATTATATGTTTATAATGAAATATTGTGGTGTAGAATAAAGATAGGTGTGTGTTATAACCTACACTTCCCAGTTTTTCACATTAATCATGATTTTATATTAAAAGAAAACTCCCATTGTGGTTGATTTTTAAGCTGAAGGAAAATTTTCCTTCTCTGCTTTGTTTCTGTTATTTTTGTTGCTTAGTGACATTGCAGGGATGCTGCTGAAGTCCACCGGAAGCTTTCTAGAGTTTGGGCTGCAGGAGAGCTGCACGGAGTTCTGGAGCAGTGCTGATGACAGCAGTGCATCAGATGAGATAAGGTGGGAGCCGGGTTCCTTTGCCTTTTGTTTCTTATCTCTCAGCCCTGAACCTAGAGGGAGCCTCTTTCAAACCAGGTTATGCTGGGCAGGAGCGATCTGGAGGACATGCAACAGGCCTGTTTATTAATATCCCTTCTTGTCATATGTCTTTGGTATAGTTTTCTTTCAGGGTGAACTTAGAATTTATTTAATAAAAACAGTGCCTTTAGAGAAGGGGATAAAGTTGACTGAAAATGAGTATAGATAATACTCTTGCTGCTCATATTTTCTGGAGTGTCTTTAAATAAATGCTGTCTCTGTCCTTTTAAACCTCTGTAGCAGTCCATTGGTATTTTAAATGACAGTTGATACATTTTTATTGTTTTTGTGTTTATTCCTTCTGCTGAGCACTAAGTACATGAAACCATTCTTATTTGTTGAATGTCCTCCAGTTCTATGAAGACATTATTTAAATTGAACCACTGAAATTGCTACTTCTTTTTGTGGCATGTTACAGTCAAATAGATTCTTGTGGCCATATATAAGTAATGTCATTTGATCCAACCTTAGCAGGTACTTAGCAAGTGAAACTGACTTCTCCAGAGCTACAATTTTTTTCTCACCATACAAAGTTTGACAAAAAACGAATGTTGCATTCAGAACACATGGGATGTCTTTATGCCCAGATTAAAGAAAAGCATTCCACCTAGATGCTTACCAGGGGAAACTGAATAAGTGAGAATTGGAGTGTATCAGTTTGTAGGCCTTGTAGTTTTGAGATCTAGCATTGTAGATTCAAAATAAACATGAGACTTTATTCATTCAGATGGTGAACTAGAAAGTAACTCGTATGGTGCCACCATTGTTTATTGGGATGGATCTATGAGTGCTTTCTATATAGCGGTGAGTGGGAGTGGCTTGTTCCAATGTCCCTTCCCAGGTGCGCTCCATGGTATGGTGAATGTGGCTGGAGAGGCCCACTAGCTAGTCACACAGCCCGCATGGCCAGCTGAGGTCATTAAGCACTTACCACACATGTCTTTTTAATTAGATTTTGAACGAGCTGCCAAGAACCTTCTCACCTTCTAAGAAATCATCATAAAGCTTTAGAAAATTGTGTTTACTGTTCCTTGAAGATTGTTAAAAGTATCCTACTTATATTTAAATGACTCAGGTACTTTCTATAAAACAGTGGGGAGCAAGCTCCTCACTCCCAGTCATTAAAAGCACCTGCAGTCTTTGTTTGTTGCTGTGATTGGGATTTTCGCACCCTGTACCTGGGTGTGCCCTTGTGTGCACTGACTGAGCTTCAATCCTCTGGCAGGCGATCGGTCATAGAGATCAGCCGGGCCCTCAAAGAGCTCTTCCATGAAGCCAGGGAAAGAGCCTCGAAAGCACTGGGATTTGCTAAGATGCTGAGAAAGGTGAGCTTACAAACTGACTAGCTCTTACTCTTTTCTTATTTCTTTTATCTTTGGAGAAAGCTAATCCTAAAGAGGTTTCTTTGTAACTGATCCTAGGACTTGGAGATAGCAGCAGAATTTATACTCTCAGCCCCTGTTAGAGATCTCCTGGATGTTCTGAAAGCAAAACAGTACCTAAAGGTAAATACGTAAGATTGTGTGCTTGAAATATTTTGCCTTCCCTCCTTTCTTCTAAAACAGGCAGATTTTTTCATGAAGTCCCAGAGAGTGAGCATTGTAGGTTTTGGAGGCCACACATTATCTGTTACAGGACTGCCCCACAATTTCTCAGTGAGGTAATTAGAAAAATAAACTTTTTTGTACTTATACTTTACCTTAATAATTAAGACAAATAACCAAATATTTGCTCATACTATCAATTCAGCTTTATATATATTAAATACTTTATAAAAAAGATAATACTGATTTTAAACAATGACTTTATTTTACCCTCACAGTTCAGAGTTTTTGAATAAATCCTGAATGCCACTGTCCTGATATCATTAGAGGTACTTTGTGAATCCCCACCCCACCTTTACTCCTCTTTGTTTGACATTTATCACTTTTGCATCTGTATATTATGTCACTGAAAAGTGTATGCCAGGCCTGGGGTAGCATGTGCAGCCTGGAGAAGATTGTGGCATCCGTGTCTCTTGTTAAAATGATCTCGGGAAGGCTATCTATCACATTCAGGCCCACAGCATCAGGTGACTTTAAAAACACCACATACAGACAGACTAGCTCTGACTGAGGTTGTTTCTGGCTCACCTCCCTCCAGGATGGAATTTCTTTGTTGTTGAAAGTAAAACAGTGAAAGGTCCTGCAGTGGAAAAACTTTGCATGGATACCCCTACCCCGACCCAGTGCAGTCTATTCCCAGGCTCTCTTTCCACTTTTCTTTCAGTCACTCTGAACCCAGATGAACTCAGCTACGTTAAGTTCCCCTGGCTGCTCAGATTAATGCTTTTCCCACATCTTCTTCTCTGAATATGCTTGTCATTTCCTAGGGTTTCTTTTTTTCTTTTTTTTTTAAGGTAGCGGGTTACTATATATCCCAGGCCAGCCTTGAACTCATGATCCTCCTGCCTCAGCTTCCCAGATGCTGAGATAATAGATGCGCACCTCCATGTGCATAGTTTTTTTTTTCTTTTTAAAATAACATTTCTGTCTGTGCAGTGTTCCTTATTTTAAGACCAGATTATTTCTTTTCCAGGTACAGATTCCTGGGTTAGAAAACTTGCACGTGTTTGTTCCAGACACCCTTGCTGAGGAAAAGGGTATTATTTTGCAGTTACTCAATGCTGCTGCAGGAAAGGACTGCTCAAAAGATCCATATGATTTGCTTCTTGATGCCTATCTGCTTGTGACCAAGCACGGGGACCGAGCCCGTGACTCAGATGATGGATGGAGCACATGGGAAGCCCAGCCCATCAAAATCATGCCTCAGGTGGAGACTGTGGATACCCTGAGAAGCATGCAGGTTGGTCTTTCTCAGTTGCCACTGCCACTGTTCTTCCCTCCTCCTGGCAGATGCATTACTTAGAATATGTTCTGGTAAAGTGAATCATTTGTAGCTTACAAAAGATTGTTTTAACTGGCATGCTAATCTCAAACATATGCTTCCCCAGAATGTGCATCTGAGTTTCACTAAGTAATTTGCAGCATAATTTGTACTAAAATATTCTAGCAAGTTCTGTTAAGTATGTTAAATTATATTAGATTATTTGAAATAATCCATGTACTTTATTTGTAAAATACATGTATTTTATTTATTTCCTTAGTTCAGTCATGTATTCAAGTTTAGAGACCCATGACCACAGTTCCAGAAATCTCAGTTCCCTAGGTGCTCTGCTTATTGGCTGCTTAGCTTTCATTTTGTAGTAAAGGCTGAGCTACCTACTGAGAATCCCAGACAGTTTCTGTAGGACCCTTATATTACTGTGTTTGACTGATGGACAATGATGGTACATGTTCACATGCAACTGGAACTGGTCATGTCAGCCACTGTCTCCTCCACCCCTTAGATTTGTTCTTTCTCTTGTATTCCCTGCCTGAGTAAACCATGCACTACCTACTCACTTGTTTAAGCCAGAAATGGGACAGTTGGTATAAATCCAACCCTGTGCTAACCATGGCAGGCAGGAGCCATCCAGTCAATGATACTTTCCCTGTGTTCCCAGGGTCACTGCCATAGCCAGAAAGTCACCACCTCTCGATTTTTCTTTCTTGTAGTTTTTCTACTTCAAACTTCATTTTCTCTCCTCCAGATCTATATTTGATTATTGTTTTGGTACTTTGAGGATAACACAAAGATCCTGTTAAATGCTGCATTGACTATTTCTGAAGGAATAAAAGCAAGGCAGTCTCAATTTCTTAATGATTCGTTCTAGGCCTCTCATCTGATCTCACTCCTACTCCTGCCTTTCCTGTCTTCATGTGCTGCTCCAACACACACAACATACTCACACTCTCAGCACTAGCAATCCTAGACTACTGGGGAGTATAGAGTATTTCAAAGCTACCATGCCTGCCCAGGCCTATAGGATTGTTCTCCCCTTTGCTGAAGATCCAGGGCATGAGTGCCACTGGAATGCAGCACTTTGTGGGGCAGCTTTGTTGCAAGTGACTCTGGGCAGATGGCTGTTGGCTTGGTTAGCCCTGAGGGTGACTGGGGGTTGTGCTAGAGTGGGAAAGCGGTCAACTGGTCTGCTTTTATGCCCTATTTGTTTTTCTTCCCAGCTGGATAATCTTCTACTAGTTGTCATGCAGTCTGCTCATCTCACAATTCATAGAAAAACCTTCCAGCAGTCCATTGAGGGACTGATGACTCTGCGTCATGAACAGACATCCAGTCAGCCAGTCATCGCTAAAGCTTTGCAGCAGCTCAAGGTACCACACCATTCCCTCCACAGTAGCCAATGTCCTTGCCTTTGTATGTAACACTTTGGTGTGATGTGGTGTCATGTGTAGGACATGAGCTCTTACATGGCCCCCTATTCTCCCTGTCTCCTTTGTACACACTTTTTCATGTCTAAACTAAAAAATTCCTGGATCTTTCCTGAAACTGGAACTTTAGAACTGGGAAGCATAGGAAATTGAGCAGTTGTATGACCTCATAGTAGACATGTGGCTGTTTATTAGCAAAATTGAGATTAGAATTTAGGGCTCTTCCTAATGTAAATTTCTTTGTCCTTTAGCAATTTCCAATATTTTACTAGAGCTATTTCATATTGATAATGTGTAATCTGAAAGGTTTGTTATTTCATTTAATAAATAATTCAGCCAAATTCATTATAATAGAAAAAGCTAGTTGTAGACAGGTGCAAAGGCCTTCAAGGCCAGCACTTGTGTTCTTTCCTTTTCCACCACTCTGTATTTTGTATCCATTATCAGTCCTGCTTTCCTCTACACCTTTGCACAGGCCATCAGGTATATCTTCTCAGTTACGTGACGGCATAACTTCTTGAAGATACAGTTCCTGAAAGTATACTTGTTTGATCAACATTTGTTTTTGTTTTGTCAATCTGATTTGTCTTACTTGTGTCTAAATCTCTTAAAAACTGTAATACCACCCTAATACCAGAGCAAGGGACATTTGTCTTTTCTTTTAGTTTGTGCCAGTTAACTCTGGAGATAGCAAGATTTTATAAGATGTTGATTATTCTTGAGCTTAAGGAGTTTATAGACGCAAGGACCTGAATGGTCACAGGGAAGTGCAGAGGAGGAAGAAGTTTGAGCCTTCCAGTAGCATCGTGGAACCACACCCTGGAGCCTGTCAGTTGGGGGTTCAGCAAAACATGCAGACTGGGAAGCAGCTCATGAAAGGAATGCCTGGGGATTGATGTCTGTGCAGCACAGTTATGGGTCTGCTTACTAAATAGCACATTATTGGACTTAGTTGGATCTTCATATGTAAAATAGAAAATAATAGGAGATAAGACTGGTGAAATAAGGGTGGGCAAAAATTGGTTTGTTTGAGAGATACCAGATTTTATTTTCTAAGCCTCAGGGAGTTGTTGAGAAGATTTTGGGAGAACGTATTCTAACGACACGTGAGGGCAATTGCCTGATGGTTACCGTGTATGCGCAGGCCTATTTAAGGACCAATTTGGAGTCATTGTGATACTGCTTGGAGCGGCAGTAAAAGCTTGAATTAAGGCCAGGTTTCTTAGCTTCTGCCCTATTGACTATTGGAGCCAATAATTCTTTGTCGTAGAGGTCCGTCTTGTGCATTGTAGGACGTTTGGCAACCCCCTGGCCTCTACTGACTAGATGGCAGTTGATTCTACCTCCTTATCCCAGATTTTTTTTTTTTTTTTCCTGTTTTGGTCTATTAGGATTTGAACCAGGGCCATGTGCTTGCTAAGGAGTTGTTCTACCATCTGAGTTACATCCCCAGCCTGTTCTTCTCCCAGTTTTGATAACCAAAAATAACTTCAGGCATTGCCAGTAATATCTCTGGTGGTTGGTACACAAAAATATTAAAGGCATCAACAGCTGTTCAAAGACCGGGTTATGATTAGATGTTATCATTTTAAATGGATTTTTTTCATTTCGTATTTCATAAGATGTTAAATGACTAAACAAGCGAAAATGAAAATAACATAATTATGTCTGTATTATAAAGTCATTTTTTGATAACTGACATAAATGTAAAATGTATTGCACTAGTTAGCATTTGTGATGATGAATGAAATGTGACTGCTTCATTTTCATTAACCATGGTTTGGGGCTCTTCAGAATGATGCGCTTGAGCTCTGCAACAGAATAAGTGATGCCATTGACCGAGTGGACCACATGTTCACGTCAGAATTTGATGCTGAAGTTGATGAATCTGAATCTGCCACGCTACAGCAATACTACCGTGAAGCCATGATTCAAGGGTACAATTTTGGGTTCGAAGTAGGTACAAAATGAGAAAAAAAAATGTAATACAGCTTAGTAAATGTTTTATAACTTACAGAGAGTATTATGAATCTTTTACAGCAAATACGGTATTAATTGTAACCATGGCTTAGTTAAGAATGTCATCTTACATGGCTGCTGAATATCAGAAATGGTAGTTTTTTAAAATGTGTCGTTGTCCACATTTTGTGCTAACAGCTGTCTACTACATTTTAAAACATTAAGAGATGCTTGATATCATAAAAGAACATTCTTATTTAAATTTCTGAATAAAACATTTGCAAAACTGCCTTTTGAGACACTATGTAATTCTTTATACTATTCAGAATATATAGATTTAATTGGATTTTGCTTTTTGTTTTTAGAAAATGATAGTTTAGGCAAACACAGCAGTATATCATGCAGGAATTTCTATTATGGTTTTCTTCTTAATCTTGATACATGTAAACTCTTCTTGCAGTATCATAAAGAAGTTGTTCGTTTGATGTCTGGAGAGTTTAGACAGAAGATAGGAGACAAATACATAAGTTTTGCCCGGAAGTGGATGAATTACGTCCTGACCAAGTGTGAGAGTGGTAGAGGAACACGACCCAGGTAACAACCAAGTAACATGCTTCTTGTGCTGTGGTATGTGAGGTTGGTAGTTCCTATAAGTTATATGAGGTTTCTGAGCAGATCTCACAGAAAAGAAGCATTCTATACTCTATAGTGATCAGGATTTTCTTTTTAATGAAAATATATACATAGAAAGACCTGTAACTCTTAGAAAACTTTTTAAAAAGTGTGTTCCAGACTGAGTTATCTTTAAAGAGTCCACAGTCTCAGTGGAGAAGTCTCGATTTCTTTCTTTTCTCATGAAAGTTAAGCCTGTTAGTTACTGTAAATGGAAAACAAATGGGTAACCAGTGTACCTATTAAGAAGCCATTTTGGAATTTGCAGGGAAAATTGGGTAACTCATCTGTGAGGCTCAGTAGTAGTGCTGCTTAAGTAAACGTTGCTGCTACAGCTTCATAACCATGTGAAGAACAGTGGAGCATTGTGTAATGGCATTTTCCAAGTCAGAGAAACACAGATTTGCTACATTTGGGATTAAATAACTCATAAATAGTTACTGAATTACAAATGGGCACCAATATCTTCTAAAATCTTCCCTGCTTCCCATTGGCTTCAAAATAAAAAATTTTTAAATGCCATTTGTCCTTTCCCAAAAGACCTAACTGTAAACTTAACTAACCTAGGTTTTGTCCTTGCTAATAATTGTCCAATTATATTACTTTCAGAATTATGCAGTCTGAGTCTGCTGTAGCATTTTTCTAGTCTGCTTTGTGATTTTTGAACATTTTCATGTGACAGGTGGGCAACTCAAGGATTTGATTTTCTACAAGCCATCGAGCCTGCCTTTATTTCAGCCTTACCAGAAGATGACTTCTTGGTATGGAATATTCTAAGTTTCTTTCATTTAAAAAAAAAAAAAAAAAGGTTGTAGGTTTGGCTCAAGTAGTAGAGCACCTGCCTAGCAAGTGTGAAGCCCTGAGTTTAAATCCCAGTCCTGCCAGAGAACAACAACAACAAAAAACCCCAAATGAGTGATTATTTTCTATTCCTTGATCATGTATTTTTATCTGTAATTCTGCTGATGATGCAGAGAAGTTAAAGCACTTTTAATAGCACAGTGAGAGCCTCACTGCTCTTTGCTTTCCATAAGGGTAATGTTCAAGGTGTTTGTCAACCCTAGTGCTGCTTCTGAGATACTCGTTAGCTTTGGGGTTTTTTATAAACTGACACCTTTGTTGCTGCTTTTTGGAAATGTAATGAAGAAAAAGGGTTAGCTATTTCCCTTTGGCCACCATCATCAGAGAGCGTAATGCCAATTAAATGTCACTACTATTGTTCTGATAAATTCCATCAGATCAAAAATGTGTTCAAAATGTGAATTTATTTTATTTCCCAGTAGTAGAGACAGAAATACATGAAAAGTCTTTGACTTATGCATATCACTGTGCTATGGGGAATTGACTGCTAATTTGCTTTTATTTATGAAAACATTTTATGCTATATTTTTAAAAAATTATGTATAATTTGCATTTAATTTGTTTATATTTATTTTGTTTTAAAGTAACCTTGAAAATATTTACTTAAGTCAGTATGTCTCCTTTAAATGAATTAAAGAGCTAATTTAGGCTGCTTATGCAATTTAAAATATACTTGCGTTCTCTCCTCTTCCACTTGCCTTGGTTTCTAGAGCTTACAAGCGTTGATGAATGAGTGCATTGGCCATGTCATAGGAAAGCCGCACAGTCCCGTCACAGGTGTGTACGCTGGTAAGACAGCTATTGCAGCATTTCTCCTGGGGTACATTCATTTGGATGAACAGATCATCTTGGTGGTGGTGTCACTTCTAATGGAATAAGCAGTATTTAAGAATATTTAGGACAATGACAGTGAAAGTGTCAGAAATGAGGTATGCAAAGAACACTGTAATAATCTCTTTAAACCCGGCAGGAAGATTGAAATGCTGACATAGGTATTCCATGCTAACCTGCAAGGTTGAACTACATTTTTAAACTTTCTGTCAATACTGCATTCTACTCTTCTGTTAAAATCTTTGGGGATGAGGAAGAAAGACTGAAGGAGGTGTTGCCTCCTTTTTTCTGTGGGTGGGCGTGGCCTCTGCCCCTGTCCCTGTTTCTTGAAGGAGTGGAGCCTTTGTTTTCTCCATGATTTTCCTGACTTTCCCCACTCCCTGTAGCAGATTCTCATTTGATTTTACTTTTAGAAAATCAAGTTACGTTATGCCAGAATATACATCAATTACATTTTTCAATTGTAGTTAGCGTATGGTGGAACTTTAAAGACAAAAGTATTTAAGAAGAAAGGACTGTCTTATGTCATTCCTGATATAGTGTATAAATAAAGCAAGACTGTCCTCACATGTAGTAAGTACCCCAAAATGAAGATTTAGAAATTTTCTAAAATTTTGAATTACACACACACAAAAAAATCACAGATAATAAATTTGCTGCATACCAGCTGTTTTTCTTACAGGGTAGTTGCTAGCCACTGCAAATATTAAAGGAATATGCTTCAATTACTGTTTTTTTAAAACCTTTAAAATGCAATCAAATCATAGAAGCTTTGTTTTCTCCAAGGCTATTATGAAAATGAAAGTTGTTATTTTTAAACTATTTGAGTGTTTATATAAAGCATACTGTATTATCAGATTTGTGGTTGAGCCTCTTATCATGAACCAAACTTGATTCTCTTATCTTAAAATATTTTTCTAAGAATATATGATCAGTAAAAATCACTCAAAAATATTTCATTACTTAAGAAACCATTAAGTTTATTTATTTATTTTTAATGGGACTAGGATTTGAACTCAGGGCTTTGGCTTGAAAAGCAGAAGCAGGTGCTTTGCTGCTTGAGCCACACCTCCAGTCCATTTTACTCTGGTTATTTTGAAGATGGGGTCTCATGATTCTTTACTAGGGCTGGCCTCAACTGCCATTCTCCTGGTGTCAGCCTCCTAAGTGGTTAGGATTATAGGGTAAGCCACTGTTGCCTGGCTAGGAATCGTTTTCTTTATAGAAAAATTACAACATAGAAAAAATATGTAGAAAAATAGATAAAATGTACATTAAGAAATTTTTCAAGGTGGACAAAATTACAAAAGAACAAAGATATGGTGCCATAATCTGTAGTCAATCACTAGTAACATTTGAGTTAGTGATCTTCCAATGTGCCTTTCATTCCCCACTGCTGGTGGGGCAGTTAAGTAGTTGTGCCCTCTGTATGCCTGTGTTGTTCTTTGTCCCCTCAGCCACATGGGATGGTGGAACTAAACTCAGAGTCAGATTGCCTGACAGCAAGTGACCTGGGGCTGCTCATGTAACATCATTAACCTCCTCTTGAAATGTATATAAAATGGTGTGCTAACAAGCATTAAACAAGGCAGCAACACATTGTAAGCTCTACTGTCCCACACACAGTTCCGATGACCTATCTTTTTTGTTGCGGTTATTTTTTCTTACTTCCTCTCCTTCTGCTCTAAGCACATACAGCCTATCTTTCCATGTTTTCTGAATATCCCTGTAATTACATAAACATCCTCTGTCGTGCCTTTCTCTGTGCTCCTACACTCACACAGGGCTGGTGCTTTTCTTGCCATTTACTGGATAAGCATGGATCATATTGGATGTAATAGCTTGCTTTTTTTTTTTTAATCTGATGATTATAGAAATTCCTCCATGTCAGAGGTGCGGATCTAATTCATTTTCTTTTGTGACCACATTGTGCCCATCATGGATAATACTATAATTTTTATGTCATTCTTGATGGACTTTTTTTGTTTGGGCTGTGAAAACATCTCTATAATAAGTTTACCACTATCGAAATTTGAAGATCTATGTTTATGGGCCGTTTGGATTTTCTTTCCACCGACAAAATGTCAGTCTTGGAACCTTAAATATACATACTCTTAAAATAAATGTGTTTTTAATGCATGAAGAATATTAAACTTGTGCTTGCAAGGTTTTTTTTTTTTTTTTAAAAAACCAAAATGTATTTATACCTTCGTGAGCAAATTTTGTAGCAATTTTTGACTGAGTCATTTCCCCTATCTTTGCTGAATTAATGACATCCAAAGCAAATCATTTTTTCTTTTACTTTTGTTGCTATTGAAATTCTTCCACTTGGCACTATGATACTTGAGGTAATGAAGCAGAGGCATCAATTGCCTAGCTTTTTGTTAACAACTACTTGATTTTTGTTTTGCAAGGGAACTTTGCATCTCTTATTTTGGTGTTTCCATCCCTGCTGGTAGTGTTACTGAAAGGAAACAAATGGAACTGTGAAAAAAGGGGATTTCCATTTAGGCTAAAATTACTAACATGTGAAGAGAAAACATGCTATTAAAAAAAATAAGGAAGAATAAGCTAGATAATTAAAAGGAGAAGTAAGAGGAAAGCTTGTTAGAATAGACCAAGTAGCACACGTACCATGACTGCTTATATTCAGTTATTGGGAAAGCAGCACTGTGGGCATCATTGCAATCACTAAGTGAGATCTCTAGTGTTAAATTTTCATTGGAAGAAAGACAGTAAAATTGTGCTCCATCTTCCGACTTGTTTGGCCTAAAGGAATGGAATAAAAGTATATAATGACAGACCCCAGAGCAGGACCTGTTGAAATGCCTGTAGGACCCAGAATCTTTTTAAAGTATAGATAGCATTTAAAAAGCCTTTTTTATTAAAGAAGTGTCAAATAAATCACATTTTCATATATGTCTAACATAGCTTCAATCATTTGTTTGGCATACATTATGTTTGGTGGAGAAAAGCTTCAGTGTGTAATTAACTTTATTAACTTCCAAAAAGTGCTATTTTTCTTGATATTTGTGTACATGTGACTTTTCACTCATGTAAAAGGGCTTCCTTTGGTCCCTGGCAGAGTTGAGTGGCACTGTGCTGTGTTCTTGCCGAGGGCCTGTTTGGACTCTTCTCTGTTGCCTGCTTTAACAAGTTGCGTTTGTCTCCATTATTGCCGGCAGCCATTCATCGGAACAGCCCTCGTCCTGTGAAGGTGCCTCGATGCCACAGTGACCCTCCTAACCCACATCTCATTATCCCAGCTCCAGAGGGATTCAGGTATCCGACTGTTTCTCGGATTCTCTGCGTGCCTGCCTGTGATCTTGGAACTGCGTGCTTGCTCTGGGAGCTCAGTGTTTTTTCAGCCTTCTTGTGCATAGCTTTTTAAAGCTCTTACTTCCATTATCTTGAAGACATACCACACTGCCTTAGTTGCAAAAGAAAAAGACACGCAAATTTAAAACAGACCTGTGTCTTTCAGGATAACTTAGTTTTTCGACTTCTTTGTAACCTCTAGCTACTAAATGCTTTCTGGCTTTGGAGTAATTCTTTCCTTTTCTTTCTTTGAAAACTTACCTTGGAAAGACGAATTTAAGTATGTATAGCATAGTAATATTTGAAAAACAACATTCAACATCACTTACAGAGTAGAGAAAGCTCTACTTTGCAGTCTTTGGTTTCATGAGTATGTATAGTTACAAAGCAACTTTACACTGGAGTGAGTTCAAACACTGATGCTGGGTTCCTTGAATGTGGTGGCATTTCTGCATCTCAGGCTAGTAAGCACCCTCTCTCCCATGTGGAATCACAAGTTAATTTTATTTGACAGGATTTGCTGGGTAAGGACCACAGTTAGTTTTTAAGTCTTTGAAATTAGGTTTTTTTCTTTTCTTTTCTTTTTTTTTTTAAACACCTAGACCTGAATCTCAAACAGCACTCTGCACTTTATATTTTTAAATAATTTTCACTTCCTTGCCATGTTTTATTTTTAGTTGAAAACCCTTTGTGAGTCCATCCCCTTTTCTCATCTGTGTTCCTGAAGCTTTTCTTCTCGCCTTAGCACTCGGAGCGTGCCTTCCGACGCTCGGAGCCAGGGCAGCCCTGCTGCTGCTGCTGCTGCCGCTGCCACTGCCACCGCCGCCACCACCTCCGGCCGCCCTGGCCCCTATGGTGGTGACTTTGTGCCGCCCAAACCCATCAGCAGTGCCCCTGATACCAGGTAGTCTCACTGCACCAGCACCATGCTTCCTTCCCACCCCTCATGTATGTGTCCTTCCTCAGGGTCCTTAGCTTTAGGGTGTCACAGAGGATGACTGGGCTACTTTCCTCTGGTTTGTGTGTCACAGTCCCCCGCCTTGACACAAGTCAGTATGAATAGACCATTTGCCTAATGTTAGTATTTCTTTGGATCCAGCATTAGCAAAATGACAGCATTATCTCTGCCAGCTACAGCTGTATGGAGAGCGTGTCAGAGGGAGGAAGCAGTTTTAACAGAACAGGATATGAGCCCTTCGCAAGCAGGCACAAGTAGTTCAGAGGTGGTGTCCTGCTAACAATGTTAGGTAAATAAGATTTTCTAACCTTATTTCCTAATTTTAAATATTGATTAGAAGTAGCTCTATAAAAGTGGAAAATGAGTTCATGAGGTTTGTGTATTATTTAGCAAATAGATCATTACTAGAGAGAACTAGCAGACACTTGGCAAGCTCCAGAAAAATCTAACTCTCCTGCATTAAGTCTTTTGTGTAAGGGGCTCGAAGTTTTCTCCATGCTAGTTACTTTTTGGCATAGACTGTTAGGAAGTTCACATTTACTTAATGGAGAAAGGACTTTTGGTCTCTCTGAATTCCACTCCTGTGTCTGAGTAGAAGGGGCACTATCAGTATTCTCATCTTCCAGTACAGAGGATGAAATACAAAAGTATCTGGATTGCGGTGATTTGATCAAAAAAGGAAGAGTTACGATGGAATTTAGTGCCCTGTATTCAGCTTATAAGAAAAAGTATAGTAGCAGGAAGATGACTGATGCTTTATAATTTGAAAGATTAAAATGTTCTTAAACTTACTTTAGTAATGATCTAAAATGTCTACAAACATTTTTAGTTTTCTCACTCATTCAAACAATTAATAGTCCTAATTTTAGTCATAAATGCCTATAACTTAAAAATATCCAAGTGTTTTACAGCTTAAGTAGTCAACTAAAAAATTAATGATTAACCTTGAACCAAATTCTCATTTGTCCTTTTGTTTTTATGTTTGGAGCATTTCATGGCAAATACTGCACATTTGCTTCCATAACCTTATAGGGCTACCAAGATGGTTGTTTTTATAAATGCAGTGCACAAAGTCAGAAGTAGTAGGGAACACTAACCAGACTGGCACCAGCTCCCAGGACTGCCACATCCACACTTACAGAACTGGGAATGGAGGAGGATGCCCCACTTCTTAAGGCTGAAGAATGTGGTTACAGGTGTTGATGTTTTACTGTAGGAGCTAAATGCCAAGGGACTTCTTTATGCATTCCAGATTATGCTTTACATAAGTGGGGTGCTTTGGTTTTTTGGGGTTTTTTTTTTTTTTTAGCATATTACAAACAGCATTTCATAAGCGTTTGTCTTAAATTCGGACATACTCGATGTCTAAGAATTTCAATAGCATCACAGTATACTATCTTGAAGTCCATTTATTTTTTAAACAAAGTAACCAAGCTTACTTTAGGGCAGTATGTTCATGGCAGCAGGTGGAGAAGAGCAGAGCCGCACAAAGACGTGAGGGGATGGTGTAAAACCCCGCCTGCTTTCAGGCCTGCTCCCAAGCCTACGGAGTGAGCCATGTACATTGATGTGAATTGGTTCATCACTGTAGAGGCATATTATGCAATCCCAGAGCCCATGGGGATGCAGAGTGACACCCATGATTTCAGGATTTGCCTGTCTTAGAGATAGAGTAACCAAAGTTCAATTTCACTTTGCCTCAGAGTGTTCAGTGGCATGTTTCACTGATTTAATTTGGCCTAGGTATTATCTATTCTGGGCTTAAATTCTCTGGCCAATTTTATAAAAATATTTTTGAAGTGCACTTGCTGGAGCCACCTTCCCCTGGTACACAAGACTTCATTTTCAGGAATTTTTCAGGCTAGTTGTTACACCCTAGAAGTTGGCAAACTCTCCGACCAAAGCCCTCCCCCCCCAATACACACACCTCACAGCTAGTTGTTAAACATTCACAAATATACCTCTTCTTTTAAATATGTGGTTTTTTAACCTTGCAAAAATCTCTAAAGGTCCTGGAATGGACTTATTTCAACTGTAGAAAACAAGAAAGGTTGAGGTGATGAGTGCTGTCTCTGTCACACAGTCTGTGTCACTGCTCAGAAGTAGAATGTGTGCCTTCAGCACAGTTTTCCATCAAATGGGACCAAGCCTTTGTGACAAAGTACACGGCAATAGAAACATCACCCTCTCTTCAGACTTTACAAGTGCTATGCTAGGTTTCAGGGTTTAAGAAAATATTAAAATAGTGCATATTTCATGACTTAGGTAATAGACTATGTTGCCTTTAATGTATTTAGTATTTAATTAAAAAAGAGCATAAATGCTACCATACTTCATTCTATCATTTACTTAAAAACAAACACCATATAAATTATTAATAAACTAACTCCAGATTTATTTTTGATTACTTGACTTACAGTTTTAACATTTCATTTATTTAAGGGAAACATTTAACTTTGTTCTGGAAAGCAGCTAATTAACTTTGTTCTTTAATATATTAAGCTTCCTGCTCTTTTGTACTTTTGCTTGGCTACTGCTTGAAAAGTCATTAGGCATTCCCTTCTGTTTTCTTATGATTTAGAGATTTGGAATCTTTTGGATCGTGTAATGATTTTAGAACCTTTGACCTAATTAAGTCATAAATGTAATTTGGTGAGACCTTAAATGATCTCCATATTTGGCTCATACTTCCTTTTGACTGACTGTAGGCAGGAGCCATGGGGCTGGCCTGTTGGTGTGGAGGGATTGCAGTGGAGCTCTCCTTCTGCTCCAGAATTCCCCAAAAGCCTCCAGAGGGGGCCTGTTCTCAGTGGCAGCCCTGTTCATTTGTCCTCTGTGTGTTGTCCTCAAGGTGCCGGTTGTACCCTCCCAATCATGATAGTCAAAGTGTCTCTGACTCTGCCAGTGTACATGGGCACAGGAGCATTGTCCCTAGTTGAGAATAGGGCTCTAGAAGAATTTCACAGATCTTTCATTTTGAGTTCCATTGAACTGATAGGTCAATTGTTAAAAATATTAAAACAGAGGTTCCAGCGTCCCTGAAAATGATCGGTTGGCTTCCATTGCTGCTGAGTTGCAGTTCAGGTCACTGAGTCGGCACTCAAGCCCCACAGAGGAGCGTGATGGTAAGTATGGGGAGGTGTCGGCTGCCTTCTCCTCAGTCCACTGGTTCTACTGTGAACACCTTTTGAAATGAATGAGGGTGAGAAGCCTCAGAGCTCAGTGACACCATAGCTTCTTAATTTAAATGCTTCTTTAGCGGTCTTTGCATATTCTAGGTCTACTTTTGTTGCTTTAAAAAAAAGTATTAGTCCTGATACTTTAATTTTTGAGTATTGTTACCCAGTTTAAAAATCACAGAAGTGATGCTGTGTTTTTTGAGGACATGTGCTGTAGCAGGCTGGGGCCCTGGAAGTACTGTCTGTTACTTTTGGGAAATTTGCTGTAGTCAAAACCCTGTTTAGTACAGTTTTCTAAAATTGATTGTGGAGATAGTTTCTCACACCCACATCAAATACATTAGGAGTTAATCACCAGAGGACAGATTGATGGTAGCCATTGCCATTCACCACTTTTGTCTTGCTTTTAAGCATTTTTATTTCATAAATATTAACTTGTGTGAAAAACTACTTCCTGCAGAACCAGCATATCCAAGAAGTGATTCAGGTGGGTCAACACGAAGAAGTTGGGAACTTCGGACACTTATTAGCCAGACCAAAGGTAAAAGAAAGGATATTGGACTCTGAATTATTAGGCCTTCTCACATTAATGTCCAGTGAAGTCATATGTAGCTCTTTAATCAGTTCCTACCAGGTACTATGTTTATGGGCATTTCCTGTTTTGTTTAACAAATTGTAAACTCCTTTGGGTCAGCTATGTGTTTTACTCACCTTTATTATTCTTAAACAGCTTAGTATAATCCTTTTCACGTAATTGTGCAATACTCACTTTTATGCTAAGAAGTTGGGAGAAAGAACTTAAGAAGCAATCAATTTAGTCAGAAGAATGAACAGAAAAATCGCTGTGGTCAGCACTTCATGGTCTATAGAATGCTTGCACATATTTTTTTTCACAACAATGTTAATCTATTCTGTTAGAATAGATCTTTCTCTCTTTTCATAAAAGATAACCTGAGAGGCCAAAAAATTTGACCATGGTCATGAATGGTAGCAGTGGAACTTCTGGTTAAGTCTGGAGTGCTCCTCACTACAGCACCCCTTGGATGGTGTGTGACTTATGGGACGAGTATTTGTCTCTGAGGCCAGAGAGGTCAGGCAGGATCTCATGGAAGGAAGAGACCAAGCTGACCCTTGAGGGAAGATAGGTCTGCAGCAAACCTGGAGGCCTATTGGGACAGAGTGGTCCGGTGGGGCCAGACTGGTGGGTGTGGATGTAAATGTAGGTGGAATTGGAGGGATGAGAGTTACTCAGTTTGGGGGCTGTCTTCAGTGATCAAATGTTCCTGCTGACCCTGGAGTGGCGGTGGCTTTGGTCAGTGCAGGGAACAGTAAGATGCTGGCCTGAATTAAGGTGGAGATAGGGAAGCCGTTAGAGTGTCATTGCCATGACGCACTTGAGTAGTAAACATATCGGCCTAACATGGACTTTAAAAGGGAGTGGCAGCAAGAAACAGCTCTGGTGCGGTGATTAGCAGACTGGGGTAGATCAGTGTCATTGGAGGGTGCTTCTTAGGCTTGTTCCATCTGGTAACGGATAGTCTTGCCAGTGGCTCACCTTTGACAGCACTTCCCCTGGACACCAGGCCTTTGCCATGCTTTCCCAAACAAACACTGTGGGCAAGTAAACTTGAAACTGTTCTTGTGAAGGAACAGTTTATACTTTCTCAAGAGAGGCTTAGCATTGAAAAAATTATAAAAAGAAAAGAACCTCTCTGAGAAATTTTGACAAGGGAATCCACAGCCTTCTAGCTGTGAAAAACTTGTCCAGTGTGGGACAGACTTGCCGTATCCTCTATTGAGGTAAAGGAAACAAGCTAGGGTCCAGGTTTTAAAGAATTAAATGTAAATCTTTGTCTAAACCATGAATCTTTGGAAATTTCACTTTTCAAATTAACCTTACAATTATCCTGGTCTTTAAGGATCTCTGCTAGATCTTTGAAGTTCTTAGATAGCTAATTAGTGTTTTCAAGTTATGAGTTGTGATGTGGATGGTAAATCTGAGCGGGTGTAATCAGCCTTTTAAAAGGGGATAGAGCTCCATGTGGTGGTTCAAGCCTGTAATCCTAGCCACTTGGGAGGACTGTGGCTCAAGGATGGAGGCCATCCCAGAAAGAAAGAAAGAAAGAAAGAAAAAAAATTTGCAAGATCCCATCTCATCCAATAAAAAGCTGGGCATGGTGGTGCCCACCCAGCTAATGCAAAGTGTCAATGGAAGGAACTGTAGAGTTCTAGGCCAGCCTAACATAAAGCATGACCCTTTCTCAAAAGTAGCCAAATGAAAAGGGCTGGGTCATGGCTCAAGTACTAGAGTGCCTACCTAATAAGCTCAGCGCCCTGAGTTCAAACCCCAGTACTGCAAATAGTTTAAAAAAAATAAAAAAGGATAGGGAAGAATCAAAATCACCTGTAGTAAGGTGGCAATGTCTCATTAAAGTTTTTCTAGATGCCTGTGTGTGCAGAAGATATTTCTTAATGTAAGCCATGATAAAATAAGTTGCCTTAAGGGCAAGCAAGTGTGTGTTGAGTCCTGCATTCTCCTTTCTCCAGCCACACTCTTGCTTTTGCTTAACAAACACAAAACCTACCATGTTACTTCCCTGGTTTATGCTACTTCTGCACCTGCTAGCCAAAAACTCAATTTCCTTCTAGGCAATTCAAAGCCTGCAAACTTTGGACCTAAATGCTGAATGTTAAATGCTGTACACGAGTTCTTTCATTAAGTGCTCCAATAGTTCAGTATTGCTACCTTTACTTCACAGATAAGCATTTAATGTATAAAGAAGTGACAAGCTTGCCCATGATCAAGCACTTAGAAAACTCAGAGGCCACGATTTTAGCCCAAGCATTCTGATTCCAGAGGCCTTGCTCTGAGTCCTCCTCACCAGAGTGGCTTCCTGGAGGAGGCATGTGTTTCAGTGGAGCTGTGTGAGATTTCTTAGCAGGTGCTGTGGTGGGAAGGTATTTTAGGCAGAGGAAAAAGTGCAAGCAGTTCTGGAAGTGAGAAATGGTGTGGCACATTCTCTAAGCCCTTCATTCTTACCTGTCGGGAGCAATGTGGTAAGAAAAGAAAAGAGAAATAGCTTTAAAAAAAACAAGCCAAAGAAGAAAAATTGGGTCTGACTTCCACGGGGCTTTGAATTCCTGTGAGAGGGCTTGGATTCCGGTGAGTGGTGGAGAACTGAGGTAAACGCACCTGGAAAGTGACAGGGAGATTCCATGTTTGCTGTACTGAAGCCAGCCAGCAGGAGCATGTGCTGGAGAGAGGACAGAAGCCGGGTACCAGGAGTCAGCAGTTGCCCCGTCAGGGCCTGGGAGGATGTGACTGTGTTTGCTACACGAGCGAGTTTGTAGTTTGTGTGTGCTTTGTGCAGTGGGGGTACGTGCTGGAATTAGTACAAGTGGAAGGATTCTGGTTCCTGATCTAAAGAGAAAGCTATGAGCTTTTGGTGGGGTGTGCTCAGGTGTGGGAGTGACGGCCTGATGCATATGCTGCTTCCTGCAGACACTGCTTCCAAGCAAGGACCCATGGAAGCCATCCAGAAGTCAGTCCGACTGTTTGAGGAAAAGAGGTATCGTGAAATGAGGAGAAAGAATATCATCGGCCAAGTGTGTGATACCCCCAAGTCCTATGATAACATCATGCACGTTGGCTTGAGGAAAGTGACCTTTAAGTGGCAAAGAGGGAACAAAATCGGTAAGGAAGTGAGGAACATGAGGTAAAGAGTCTGTTAGAAATAGCAGTTCTTAACAGTGTACATGTGTCTTTTTGTGGATGGTTCTTTGTGCTGTTGCTTAATTTCTAAGATGTGTTCTAAGAACAATACAAAGTGGAATTTTAGGTTTTGTTTGTTTGTTTTGTGTTACTCAGGACTTTGTACTTACTAAGCAAGCACTTTACCACTTGAGCCACACCCAGGCCTTTTCAGTTATTTTTCATATAGGGTCTTGAACTTTTCTAGGGGCCCTGAATGACAATCCTACTTTTGTCTTCCACAGAGCTGGGATTACAGACATGCACCACTGGACCTGGCTTGTTTTTGAGATGAAATTATCCTAATTTTTTGTGTAGGCTGGCCTGGAACTGTGATCCTCCTTTCCCCACCTCCCTAGTAGCTGAGATTGCAGGTGTGAGCCACCAGGCTCAACTAGAAAAGATTTTTAAATAGTTCAATAAATTGAATAGTTTTGCTGTTCAATTCTAGAAATTCCAGTGGGAAACTACTGAAATTGTACCCATTCTATATTCTGTCATGCTGTTCCCACAAGAATATTATTTTGAGAGATGATATAAATCAGGACGATATATTTTTTTCATCCTGAATGTTGCATTTCTATGTGAAACTACTTCTTGTGAAATGGTGGCACGCTGTGTGATGTCTCAGATCCTCCCGCTTTGGATGGTGTTTGACTGCTAGGCATTTAGGTCTGCGGAGACAGAGCAGTTGAGAGAGGACTCTGTGGCCTCAGGAAACTGGAGCTTCCTTAGAGCTGCTGCACATAGAGCAGTGAGCCTGAGGCCACTCAAGCCCCTCAAGAGTCTCGTTCATTGTCATTCTCAATCCCGTTTAGCTATATGTGCGCTTGGCTTCATGTCCCAGAAGGAAATCAGGAGAGTGTCTGTTCCCACAGTCCTAGCCCCACTCAGTGCAGTGACACAGGCTGGGAGCACGCCTGACACTCCCTTCTGCCCCACTAGCAGCCCAGTCTCCAAATTTGTCCATTGCTCTTCTTCATACCTCTTATAGGACTTTTCAAAACCAGTTCTTACCTATTTAAAGGTATTCCAGATAAGATGTATCCATGAGATTTCTTTACTTCTGATGTTAAGGACCATTGAGAACTATATCAAACCTAATTATCAATACATAACCATACATCCAGAATCAGTAGACATGTTGTTAGTTTCAGTGACTTAGCCTGTGTGTGGTGCCTAGAAGAGTGATCTGTTGGTATTGATGTTCACAGGAGAAGGACAGTACGGGAAGGTCTACACCTGCATCAGTGTCGACACCGGGGAGCTGATGGCCATGAAGGAGGTGAGTCAACTGGGGCCTTTGTGTTCACTTGGGTGATAGGGATTCAGCTCTTCACGTGTGCAGCTGGCCTAAGTACTCTCCATTGTGAGTTGTCAGTGTTGAGCAGCCTTGCAGCTGCATGGGATAGCATTATGGAAAGGGAAGATGTTCACAGGACGGTGAGCATGGCTAGAGCAGGAACGTGACATGGATAGGAAGTGTCTCCCTCCATAGGAGGCAGACAGGAAAGCTTGATAAAGGCTTGCAGGAGGGTGACTGACACCAATGGCACCTTTAGGGGTATCAGGGGAGAAGAACATTTGTGATGAACTTCAGAAATGAGTCTCATTTTAACAGCCAGAGGCAGAATGGACAAGAACAGGGGGATCTGAGGAACAGCCTGAGTGAGGGAACTAGAGTCGCTTCAGTGGAGGGGTCTTGGGAGGTATGAGCCTGAGCCCGAGGGGAGGACTTGTGACTGGCGGGCTCCCAGCGCCTTGCCCACTTCCTGGCCAGTCTGCCTCCGGAGCTGCAGCTGTGTGTGGCCTTTACCCGTCCTTCCTTACGTCCCTACACCAGCTTGGCTGTGTGTCTTTTTTTTCCTGTTCTTTTTCAGTTTAATGGACATTTATGGGATACAATATGATGTTTCAATATATGTAGATAATGTGAAGTTATTAAATCAAGCTAGTTAACATATTCATCACCTCACTTTTCTTTCCATAATTTGAAATTTACCCTCAATTGATTAATACCTACCCTCTATACGGTACTTACAAGATGGGTAAACCTGGAGTAATTGTGCTAAGTGAAATGATCAGCCAGGCACAGAAACAAAGTGCTGATGATCTCACTTCCACGTGGAATCTAAAATAAGCTGCAAACTTCATAAGGTCAGAATCGGGTCTTAGATTTTAATATTTCCAGAACCAGAACACCAGTCGCCTCCTGAATGCGTGATGCTTGTGTGATTTAGTTTGTAGTTGGACAGGGGTCCTGTTAGCTGTTACACTGGCCGTGCTCAAAAGTGACCATGTTTAGTTCTGGAATCACACAGGAAGTGTCTGGAAGTCAAGTCATAGGCACCAGGACCATGGTCCTGAGGGCCTGATAGTCAGTGCCAGGACACAGCTTTACAGCCCTCATGGTTTAAGACTCTCCTGTTACACTGTGTGGCAGTATCAGTAGTAATCACCAATTTTCTTTTTACAGATTCGATTTCAACCTAATGACCATAAAACTATCAAGGAAACTGCAGATGAACTGAAAATATTTGAAGGCATCAAACACCCCAATCTGGTTCGGTATTTTGGTGTGGAGCTTCATAGAGTAAGCCGACTTTAATCACACTGTTTTGTGTGAGGAATCAGCAAGGGTACAAAATGGAGTCCTGTTCTACATCACAGGTCTTCTCATTTCAGAGCACAGTAACTTTGCCTAATTATCAGGAAATCTCCATGAGTTACATCATTTCTGCCTTCTCTCTGAAACTAGAGGAGTTCTTCCTGAAATGTAAGTTGTAGACTGTAGTCATTCACCCGAAGTTGTAAAGCACTGAAACCCATCCTGCCACTCAGAAGACTCTCCTCAAGTGCCCTTCCACGCTGCTTGACACTTTTCTCCGTTACAGTACACCATTGAGTGGTACTGATGTTTCTTAATGTGTTTAAGAAACCTCTGTGAATTGAGAGAAAATTAAAACCTGAGTTCATTTTCCCCTGTGTTAGAGATAAACACACTGAGGGAAAGAGGATTACTTGGAGCATTTGGTGTAGGACGGAGCCTCCAAGGGGAGTTGGGTGTTGATCATTTTTCATGTTTTCACAAGTATATTCATGTTTGAAAAGGATGCGTTGCAGTACTTCTAATATACTTTTAGGGACAACCTCATTGGTTCCTGTCTGAGATTATATGGCACACTTCATCTCAGAGGATTATACAGTTTATCCCCTGTGATTTGGAGGAGGCATTCCCACCCCAGTGAGCTGTATAATTCCAGACAGGAGGCAGGCGGCCCCTCTGCAGAAGAGCCCAACATAACTGCTGCACAGCACACTAGCTTAGGATGGCCAGTGTAGTCACCTCAGAAAGAAGGCTGATTCCTCGGGTGGGCCTGTGAGTTCTTGAGTTTCCATCATGTGTGTAAGGGGAACCATGAACTCAGGGCTACGTGTTGTTCTCCCACAGGAAGAGATGTACATCTTCATGGAGTACTGTGACGAGGGCACATTGGAGGAGGTGTCAAGGCTGGGGCTCCAGGAACACGTCATCAGGCTGTACTCCAAGCAGATCACCATTGCCATCAATGTCCTGCACGAGCACGGCATCGTTCACCGCGACATCAAAGGTAATTCCGGGCATCGCCTGGTGTCCCACACCTAGTAGGTGCTCCAGACACTTGTTCCCATTCCCTCTGTACTTGTCCCCATACATACAGCTTTACCGTAATTATGCTTCTGTCACAAGCCCGTATTGAGAAACAATGTGGAACCCATGTCTCCCTCCATAAGTAGAAAAGTCTGCTCTGTTTTTTTAATTCAGCATTACTTTTAGAGAAATCTGCTTCCCAAGAATGAAGTTTATTGTTCTTGTACTGATTTGAGAGGGCCTGTGCTTCTTAGACAGTTGTGACAAAAGCAGCCTTTCTTTTCCTGTGTCAGGTCTTTGTATATTTATGCATAAATGTAGTGACTATGTAAAATGACAGTAAATCAGAATTGCCTGGGAAGTCAGAATATGTTCCATGTCTTTGGAGACAGGAATATGGTTTACTTACACCAATCTGCAAATTAGAGTTCTGCTGAAGGTCAATTTGGTCATGGTGATTGATGAAAGTGTGTTTCACTCTCCTGGCTTGAGTGGAGTGGCTGTGCTTCTCCCTCAGAACTGTCACTGTGGCATTCGCTTTCACTGCACCCTGTCCCTTGCCTTTGCTTTGGGGAGTCTTAGAGATACTTTAAGTAAGAGAGTACTTTTGCCCATAATCAGCCCTAAAGAGTTCTGTTCTGTCATGTAGTCTGAGGTTAACCTAAACACATTTACTCAAGAATTGGCCTGACTTCTGACCAGGAATTGGACTCAGTCTGTTGGGCTGTTCGGGATTGCACCAGAAACTGCTTTGTTCTGGGGATAAGAATTGTCCCTGCTCTGTAATGTGGCTCTCTGTGAGACACCCAGCCTGTGTCAGTCTTGTTGACTACCTGCCTGTCTACCACATGGCTCTGCTCTCTGAGGTCAATTCTGGGCATATGTTTAATGGGCTCCTTATCAATCCATGGTGTTTCCCATTTCCATTCTGCTGTATACACTGTACTCAGGCTCTATGCATTGTTGCAAAAACAGTGCCTTTGTGTTGTAGTTCATGGCATAAAGAGAATCCCTGAGGCCAGGTGGCTCACACCACCTGTAATCCTAACTACTCAGGAAACAGAGATCAAAAGGTTTGCTGTTTGAGGCCAGCCCAGGCAAAAAAAAAAAAAAAAGTGGCTAAAGTAGTAGAGCACCTTCCTTGCAAGTGTGAGGCCCTGAGTTCAAACCCTAGTACTGCTCCACCCGCCACTATCCCCCAAAAAAGAGAGAATCCCTGAGTATTTGAATCAGTTTAGCTCACTGGTGTCCTTATCAAATACCTTGTGGTTGATCTGGCTGTGAGTGCATAGGTGTAGAATAGTCCCAGAGTTACCACGGTGCATTCCTCAGCGTGTGATGGTTTTTTTCTGCGTGCTACTTCCTGGTATGGGAGCTGCTAATTGCATATAACTCCATTGTCTGTGGACCACCACAAACGTGTATTTTGTATATAATTTCTCTTTGAGTATGTCTTGAGTTTTTAATTTTAGAATTTTTGAGTGTATTTCAGTTCAGAATTTATTGGTCAGCGTTATCTTCCCCAATATTAAATTTTGTTGCTTTGTATTAACATTTGTGAATAAGGTTCATGAAACTTTCTATAATTGCATGTGGTGAGCAAAGTTTCTGGTAACTTAGATTACTAAGTAAACATTCAAATGCCCACACTGTGTTTCAGAGGTGCTAATGACTGCTTATTTCTTTTTAGGTGCCAATATCTTCCTGACTTCATCTGGACTAATTAAACTGGGGGATTTTGGATGCTCAGTAAAGCTTAAGAATAATGCCCAGACTATGCCTGGAGAAGTGAACAGCACCCTGGGGACAGCAGGTAGGGCAGCTTGACTGGTGTGCACTGACCTGGGGCAGTGGCATGGTCCCTGGGCTCCCCTTTACCCTTCTGTGTCAGCACAGCCCTGCCTTTCCAGTCCAGGTGGGAGCCACTCCCTCCCATGCTAGGGGAGAGCAGATGTTTGACTGGGCAATTAACTTTCTTCTTTAAAACTAAAGGTGAGAGAAAAAGAAGCTTCTTTTTCTTCCCAGAAAGACTTTTTGTTGTTTATGTTGGTATTATTAAAACTGTTCTAGTTGAAATGGTAATTATTTGTTTTGACCATTTAGTACCAAAAATTTTTGCATACTCCTTTCTAAGTTAAATTTCCTGTTTTCATTATGAATACAATTTATTTGAAAATTTGCACACTCAAAAGTACCCTTTAAAAGAATTTTGTCTCTAAAAAGTTCCTTCAATAAGTTGATTTGAAATACCTGTTTTTAAGTGTTCAGCATCTATTATGTAACTTGGGGAATCAGTATTAATAGAATATTAATTTATTGGGCCAGGCAGAGCTCACATGTAATCATAGCTACTTGGGAGGCGGAGATAAGGAGGATCACAGTTTGAGGCCAGCTTTGGCAAAAAGTAAACTAGACTACTCCCCCATCTCAACCAATGAAAACTTGAGTGGGGGGTGCACACCTATTTTCCCACATATGCAGGAAATGTAATTAGGATCATGGTACAGGCTGACTCAGGCATCAGTGCAAATCCCTATTAAAAAAAAATACCTACAACAAAAAGGGCCACACACACATATACGAACATTAATTTATCACTTGATGTTATTAATGCATAGTGCGGTGTTTATAACCCATTTCTATCAACTATATCTGTGACTTTTAAAGCTTACATGGCGCCTGAAGTGATTACCCGTGCTAAAGGAGAAGGCCATGGGCGAGCAGCAGACATCTGGAGTCTGGGGTGTGTGGTCATAGAGATGGTGACTGGCAAGGTAAGCACAGCCTACACTGTCCACAAAGCAGTAGTTGCACTTTTATTATTCGTTATAAATTCTGTGGACACATTTTCTGCTAGAGAACATGACTAGAGATTAAAATGTGACCCGTCAAAGCATATAAGGTTGAGAAAAGTGACAAACTAGGGAAAGGGTATTTATAATATCATAGAGTATAGTGAATTTAAAGACACACAAACCTCTAATTAAAACAGAGAAGCAAGCAGTTAAAAAGAGAAACACAAAGCCCAAAACTGTCATCTACACAAGAACCTGCGTAAATGCCAAAACATGGAAGCAAACAAGGACCTCCTTCAATGGGTTAACAAACTATGTTAGTCCATCCAAAGGAATATTACTCCCCTAAGACATGGAGGTACCTGAAGTACACATGGCTAAGAGAAGAGACTCCAGACTGGGAAGGTTGCTTACTGTATGGTTCCATCTTTTTGATGTGAGAGACAGAACTACAGGGATGGTAAAAAGAGTCTGCCATGGGAGAGAGAGATGATAGGTAGAGCACAGATAAATAATGGTGGTATCATTTGTACAGCAGAAAACTTAGAAACCTCTTAAGTGCTTTTAGGAAATCAGTTAAATCAATATCCAACCGTACCTTGCAGATGCTGAAAACATGCTGACCAGTTACATAAGAGTGTGCTCAGCAAAGAGTAGATATTGTTCTTTCTGTTAGCATTGAAATAGGAAGACCGCCATGACTCCTACATCACTGTAGTCAGAACATGTGCTCATGTTGAAGAGTACACACTAGCAATGAGTACATAATAGTACATAAATTAGGATGCTATGCAAACTTAATTCTTTCCCTCTGACTCTCACTTTTCCTATGATCATAATGGAAAAAGCTCAGCACTAGTGGAATTTTCATGACTCAGCAAGCTAGCATATGAAGGCTCCCTGTAAGGAAACTGTTGAGTTTCATGTCTTAGTGACATTTTCTGTCATTTCATATGTTACGTTGTTTAGTTGCATGATAGTGGCTTCTAGATAATGCCGCAGTAACAGCACGTCCCAAATGGAGTTGGCAGACTCCACTGGCCACCTGTTTTCAGACAGAAAGGTTTATTGAGACACAGCAGCACCGATGTATGTTGTCTGTAGATGCTTTTGTAACCAAATGAGAGAACTGAATAAATTGTGACAGAGACCACATGGTCATAAGTCTAAGATATTTATGTTATTTGGACTTGTGATGCAGGTTTACTGACCTCTGATAGATAACTTGAGCATTTGTGACATTTTTTTGTCATGTGATACTAAACCCGATTTCCTGTTTTCGTAGAGACCGTGGCATGAGTATGAACACAACTTTCAAATCATGTACAAGGTGGGGATGGGACATAAGCCGCCGGTCCCCGAAAGACTGAGCCCTGAGGGGAAGGGCTTCCTTGCCCACTGCCTGGAAAGTGACCCAAAGCTGAGGTGGACGGCCAGCCAGCTCCTCGACCACTCTTTTGTCAAGGTTTGGCGACTACTGAGCTGGTCTTTATGTTTAAGTATTCACGTTCACTTTTGCATCTGGCCCTTAAGGAAGTTCGATCTCAAATCTAAAATACCTGTATGTAAAATGGAAGGAACTAAATGCCTTATTGTACCAGACTGATAGAGCACTTGACACACTTCAGTGACATTGTAAACACAGCTGGCCGACAGGATAGTTTCCACTCCTAAGAGCATGTGGTCTGTTGGGAGGCCTTACCAGGTTATGTCAGGAGCTGTGCTAACGGCATGTGTGCTGCACCATAAGGTTACTGAGAAGAACTCAGTGTGGTCAGATAATTGTGGGTATTATTTTCCCTAGAGTGACCTACCTAGCCTGTTTGAGAGGGTTTGGCCAGGCAAGAATGGTGTGTAATGGGAGGGCAGACAAAATGACAAGGCATGGAGAGACTTAGTCCCAGAGGAGCTGTGTGTGGGTAAGAAAAATTGCAAAAGATCAGGCCAGAAAAACAAGCAGTAGCAATATGAAGGAAATTCAGGTTATTGCAAATATAACATGACTAAATAGAATTTTAGAAGGATCACTCTGGAGGAAAGAGACTAGTTAGGAACTGCTGATACAGTAGGAGGATTGGGAATGTACTGTCAGGGAGGGTTTTAGTTGGCAGTATTTAGAAGTGAGAATGGTATTGGCTGAGGAACTGGTTAGATGTGAAGGTGAGTTGAGGGAGGAGTTTAGGGTTGCCCCCAGCTTCCTGGCTTGGTCATGGGGTTCCACTCACCACTATGAGGCAAGAGGGCAGCTTGTTGAGGGGTGGGCCAGAAAGATGATGGTTCTTCTTCAGGAGATTAAGTTCAAGGTGTGTTTGGAACACCTGGGAGATTTCAGATGGCCATTTGGTGTTTGGGGCTGGCATTCAAAAGGAAAATGGGCAAGGGTGCAGATTTGGGAACAGAAGTGTTCCTGAGGGAGTACATGGGAGAATCATAAGGATAGCTGAGAACAGGACCCTGGAAAACCACCTGACAGGGCCTGCACAAGACCACAAGACAGAAGGCACAGTGGGCAACATTCTTCATGAATTGGATTAAAAGCAAGCAGCTGGATTAGTTGCAGAGATGTTTGGGACTTGTAATTAAAGAACAAGTATTTTGTAGTTATCAATAAAGGCATATTGACCTTTATTGATAGTGCACACACATTTGAGAAAATAATTTCAGTGATCAGTTCCCAGGCTTCCCTGAGAGCTGGCACGCAGCTACCCTCCTTGTCCAGCATGGTGTTGGTGCCAGGGTGAACGAATGGGCCTTCCTTGTTGGGCTGGAACTGTGTGTATGCACACATGTACATTTGTATCTGCAAGAGTTCAGCTCTCTCCTGCTTCCTCACAGGTTTGCACAGATGAAGAGTGAAGCTAACCAGTCCATGGCCTACTAGTGTATGGACTTGGAAAATCCCCTAAATCACTACTGTATGTAATATTTACATAAAGACTGCTGGGAAGCAGCATAGCCTTTTTAACCTTCCAAGACTGAAGACTGCACAGGTGACAAGTGTCACTTTTCCTGCTGCTCCTGTTGTCTGACGCGGCACAGGGCCCTCCTGAGTGATGGTGTCCATGAGGTTAAAGAAGCTGCATGTTAAGTGCCGTTACTACTGTACATGGACCATCGCCTCTGTCTCCTCTGTTTCTCGTGTGACTGAGAACCATGACATCAGTGTAGTGTTTTTGAGCTTCCTGGGTTCAAAAGAAGTTGTAGTGTTATCAGGTGTCCTGGACCTTGTTTTTAATCTCCTGTTTGTCGAGTGCACTGACTGTGAAACTTTCTTTTTTGTTATTGTTGGCAAGCTGCAGGTTTGTTATGCAAAAGGTTGTTTAGTGAAATTCAAGAAAAGGTTCTTTTTTCAATAAATGGTTTATTTTAGGAAAGATAAGTTCTATTGTCTTTTAATGGTTCCCAGCTGAAGAGACAGCAGTCAGGATGCAGAGGTCTGTCCTTCCTACTTCTTGCTCCTCAGCAGAAGCAATCTACTGGGTTTGCTCAGTGGGGCACTGTGCCAGGTTCTCCTTTAGGATCTAGGGTCTCCTTGTTGACAATGGAGGACATAGGTGTAACAACACTAATGTATAAGATCCCCCTTTTTCTGTTATTTTCTGTTAACCAGCAAATTTGTAAGAGACGAAAGCTCAAGCCTTGTTATCACATGTGGGGGCTCCATTTATTTTTAAACCAAGATGTGTAGGTGCTAGGTCAGTGTAGTATTGCTGAAGAGCTCTTGATAAGAAAACCTCTGTTTCAGAATGTAAACTGAATTTCAGCAGTTAGTGGCCTAAACTAGCCAAATTATATGTCATTGATGGTGTTCTTTATTTCTTTTTGCTATTAAATTTTTTAAAAGATTGACCTTAAAGCTTCCTGAAATCTTTTTAGATCATTGATTTGAATCACTTCTCAAGCAGGCTCTGAATCACCTCCCTCCAGCATAGTTGATCATTTCAGCCAGGAAGTTAATGTCTGGAGAGTGTTGGCATCACAGAAGGATTTATACAAACACTTAGAATTTTATTTAAATTTAAGATGTTTTTTCATAGCCTTTGAGATGTAGTTTGCATAATATTTTAAAGGTACAATTAAGCAGTTTCTTGCTGTAGTTGCACAGCCATCATCACCATCATTGTCATCATCTCATTTTAGCACCTTTCTATCTCCCCAAAATGAAACCTCAGACTCACTTATAGTTGCTCCCCATTCTTACCCCCATCTGTAGGCAACCACTGAGCTACTTCGTAACTGTGAATCTTCCTATTCTGGGGATTTCATATCAGTAGGGTCTTAACACTGTGTGGTCTTTTCATATTTGCCTCCTTTTACTTAGCACATTTCTGAGATTTATCCACAATGTAGTGTGGATCAGGGCTGCGCTCATTTTTAATGCTGAGTACTATTCTCTTGTGTGGATGCACACAAGGGAATCCACTTGCTACCTGCTGGGCTTTTGGGTTACTTCTACTTTTCTGATTCTGTTCTGAACATTCACAAACAAATCTTTGTACGGACATATGTTTTTACTTCTCTTGGGAGTTAGAATTGTTGGGTTACTTGGTGAATATATGTTCAACATTTTCAAAAACTTCCAAACTGTTTCCCAAAGGGGCTGTATCATCTTGTATTTCTGTTGGCAGCATATAAGAGCTACAGCTTCTCCACACTCTTGCCAACATTTATTGAGGTCCTTGTTTTTGATAATAGCCAGTGTATTGAATATGCAGTGCTGTCTTGTTATGGTTTTGTTTGCATTTCTCTGATGGTGGTGAACATCTTTTTGTGTGCCTATAGACCATTCATAAGTCTTTGATAAAATGTCTCTTTAGGTCTTTTGCCCATTATCTGTCATCTTACTGAGGTATAAGAGTTTTGTGCATTCTGGGTACTTGATTTGTAAATGTTTTTTCCCCAGATTGTGGCTTGTCTTTTCATTTTTGAAGCAGCAGAGTTTTTAACTTTTTAAAGCATGTTTTACTGTCTTGTTCTTTATTGCTTGAGCTCGTATCTTGTGCTCATATCTAAGAAATCATTGCTCAACTCAAGGTCAAAAAGATTTACTCCCGTTTTTCCCTAAGAGTTTTAATTTTAGCTCTCCAATTAGGCCTATCGTGCAGTTTTAGTTAATTTATGTATAAGGGGGCCAAATTCATCCTTTTGCATGTGGGCATTGGTATGATCCAGCATCATTTGTTGAAAATTTCTTCTTTCTCCACTGGATGCCTTGGCATCCTTGTTGGAAAACCAGTTACCCATAAATGCAAAAGTTCGCTTCTGGATTCTCAGTGCTGTTCAGTTAACCTGTGTGTTCATCACATATGGTACCACTTGATTATTATAGCTTTGTAGTAAGTCTCTATAAAACAGGAAATGTCAGTCCTTCAACTTAGTTCTTATTTTTCAAGATCGCTTTAGTTCTTCTGAGTTGCTTGCCTTTCCGTGAGTTTTAGGGTTAGTTTGTTAATTTCTATAAAAGAACAAAAACAAAGCAGCTGGGATCTTGGTAGGGATTGCACTTAATATATGCAGTAATTTTGGGAATGTTATCTTACCTTAATTTTAAGTCTTCCAATCCATGAGCACAGGATATTTCTCCATTTATTTAGGTATTTAGTTTCTTCAACAGTGCTTTGTGTTTTCAGTGTACAACTTGATGGAATCCAGGGCTTGTGTATCTAGGCAGGCACTCTACCACTGAGCCATATCCTCAATCCTTAGTGTACCACTCTTCAAGTCTAGTTCATTCCTAAATACTGTATTCTTTTTTGTGATACTGTGGATGAAAATATTTCTTAATTTCTTATTCAGATATGAATATGAAATATGCTAGTGTATATTAATTGAACTAATTGATTTTTGCATTCATGGGGATGTTGATCATTGAGCATCTCCCCCTTTTTCCCCAGGAATGGAATGCAGGGCCTTGCATGTGCTGGACAAGTGGTCCACTCTGAGCCACACCTTCAGACAGAGTGCGCTCCTTTTCATGTGTCACTGCAATCACATGCAGTGTTTTGTTGAGTACTTTTGCTTCTGTGTTCCATGAAGGACATTGCTCTAAAGTTTTTATTTCTTGTGATCTTCTGTTCTTGTTTCTGGGTAATGCTGACACCTCCTACAACAAGTTGAGAAGTTTTCCTCTTCCTTTGCTTCTCAAAGAGATGGTGAAGTGTTGATATTTTTCACTAAACCTTCTTTTTTAAATGTTTAATAGAATTTACTCATGAAACTAGCTGGGCCTGGATTTCTCTTTGTGGGAAGATTCTAAGTTACTAATTCATGCTGTACTCATCACAGGTCTGGTCAGGTTTATTTCTCTTTCTGTCAGTTTCAGGAATTTGTCCATGTTGGCTGAGTTGTCTGATGTCTTAATAGACAGATGTCCATTGTAATACTTTCAATAATTTCAATTTTTGTAAGGCTAGTAATGATGTATCCTTCTATTTCTGAGTTTTCTTCTTTGTGTCTTCTTTCTTTTTCTTGGCTAAGTAAAATTGATGCTTCTCAATTTTGTTGGTCTTTTCAGAGAATCGACTTATTAATATTGTCTTATTTTCTGGCTTCTGTTTCTATTTTTTTTCACACTAACTTTTGTTGTTTACTTGTTCTGCAGGCTTTGAGTTTAATTTACTCATCTTTTTAAAATTTCTTTAGCTAGAAGGTGGCAGTGATGAACAAAAAGGGAAAATCTGACAGGCTAATTTTTTTAGTCACTTACAAACAGTGCCTGTGTCTTGAATGCATTCTGAAGATGACTTCTCTGTAAGCTAAAGTGATATAAAAGCAAGGGGTAGCAAGATTGCTACCGGTGCTACCCCTTTTCCTTCTAAAGTAGCAATCTTGGTCTGCTGGCATTCTTCCAAGCATTGTTGGCAAACAAAGTCTGTAAGGGCCAGAGGGTAAATACCTTTGCTTTTGTGGGCCATGCAGTTTTGTCACAACTACTCAGCTCTGCTGTTGTAGCTTGAGAGCAACAGAGAGCTGTAGACAGTAAGAGGATGGATGGTGGAGGAGCAGACTTGGCTATGCCCCAGAAAAATGATGTACAAAGCACACAGCAGGCCACATCTGACCAGGGGGACTATAGTTTGGCAACCTTTGCTGTAGAGCATTGAACAGAATTAAGAAGCATTGTTTTCTTCCTAGCCTATAGAGCTTACGTGAAAGTATGTAATCATTAAAACGAGTCCTTCTGAATGCTACCTTACTCATCCATTTCATTTCTGGACTAAGACGTGGGACTGTGCTTTTTACATGTGGCATTTGCTAGGTGACAAGACTGGTTCCTTGTGAGCAGATTGCAGCTTCTGAAGGCAGCTTTGAAGCAGGACTTTCAGAGACAGGGCAGAACAGTGAAGCTAGGGATCACCCCCCAGGGACAACGGGGTGTTAAAGGCCCATGGAAATTCCTGTGTGTTTATGTACTGTTTGGGTGTTTAAAGTTTTTGTACAAAAGGAAAAGTTTAAGCTTACTATTCAGGAATGCATTCTGAAATGTGGTAGTTTGTGTCTTTTGAAGCCTGTTCTTTTGTTTGTTTTTTTACTGTTAAAGGAGGATCAGCATATTTTTCCCAAGTGGATCAGTTCATTTGTTACTGATAACCTGTTGAAGCAGGTAACTAACTCTCCTCTTAGTGTGGTTTCTGAAATCACTGTGATGCAAATCAGTCAGTCAGTACCATGATGGAAACTCCTATGATATGTTCTGCTTGCAGTGTTTGTCACTTCATCCCTCCCTGTAGGCTCATAGCTTCACAAATCCCCAGCCTCCCCCTGAATTCTCAGAACATTCAATACTTCTGCTTTGAGGAGGCCCTCTGTCATGCTTGCTACATCACTTTTTCTCTTCTTGAGCTGGCTGTCCATTGTAGAAGCACAATTCTTTTCAGATATTATAACGTAATTTGTTCTTAGTCCATTAAAACCATCTGCTTTAGAGGCAGTTAACTGTGAACACATGCCACTTTCCATTTTTTTCTTGTGTTATCCTCAAAGTGACAAGGTGATTGTGTTACACCACTCCATGAGGCATTGTTGACATTGTACTTTATTCTTTAGTCATCATCTTTCTTGATAGCTACTTTCTTCTTTAGAGTGGTTTTAATTAACAAGAATACTTTTCTTTGTTGAGGTGCAATCAACCTGATTGTATTGCTGATCTGTACTCTATCTACCTGGCTGTTTCCTTCACTCCAGTTCCTTCATCTCTGCCTCCAAGTTCCTTCTATAATAGTTGCTAATTCCCAACTTCCCCTTTAGTTTGTCAGAACTGGTTATCATAGGTGTTCTGACCATGGTGGGGTACTGCACTCCATGCTGTAGAGCTACACTCACATTAATGAAGCAGAATAGCTGTGGCCCCTATCCTTGTGGAGAGACCATGAGACACCACCTTACTCTGTCCTTCTGTCTCCCCTGCTGGTTTGAATGGGCTAGTGAGGGAAGAGAGCCTTTCTAAGGAAATGCTGTGCTGGGTATGTAGGGGAGATGCCCAGGAAGGGGAGAGCATGGAAGAGAGTAGAGCTGAAGAAGTGGCAGGCAGGAAAGGGACACATGGCTATGACGAGCGAGGCAAGGGAGGTGGCAGGACAATAAGGCCTTTCCACTTTCCCCAGAGATATGGAGTGAGTCATGGGAGGAGAGAGCTACGTTTTCCCAAATTAAAATGTTACATATAAAATTTTACAAAATTAGATGCCACTAGTAGCCTTCTAGTGGTATCTACCACACAGTTCATTAATCTTAAATTAATGAAATGATTAATGAAAAATGTGAAAAGATTGCTATTCAGTATGGCAGAGAGACAATACCCAGGTTGACACTGCCGTCCAGTTACCAGCTCTCTCTTCTGTGTTAAAAAGATACCATCCATTGCATGTTCCCCAAGACTTGCATGGTTCTGCCACATACCTTGCAAAATTCACATGCACTAGTCTGATCATGTGTCTGAGAAGTTGCCTGCGGTCATTCCAGCGTCATGCATTCCTTAGGGCTCCTTTGTCCTTTCCTGGCCGCCACTGCTTTCTTTTACATGTTCAGAAGTCATCCCTTTAATAATTTGTCCCAGAATGCTGCTGCAAAGCAGTCTTTGTAGTTCATTCATCTTCATCTTCCCTCTTTAAATTGCCTCCCTCCAAGTTGATTTCTTCCTCTAAGTAGGTTTCCTCAAAGGTCATCCCTTTAGTAGTTCACATAATCTCTTGAGCCCAGGGTGCATCTGGTGTTGCCAAGAGACAGGAATTTATTGTTTACCTGGAGCACCTCCTTTCCTGACGGGAACTGAGTATGTCCTGCCCTTCCCTATTTTCAGTCCT